CGCCCGCCGCCGGACCTCGCGCGCGCACTGCCTCCTCGCGCCGCGGCCCTACGAGGAAATCTACCACGAGCAGGCCTACCTGGCGACGCACCTGCAGCAGAAGACGCAGCGGATCGAGGGCCTGATCAGGGAGTACTCGGCCGCGCAGGCGCAGCTCGGCCGCGGCGCCGAGGGCAAGACGCGCCGCCGCCTGCGCAAGCTCCAGAACCTGCTGCGCTGCAAGCTCGACGAGGCCTCGGAGCAGGAGCGCGCCATCTTCTGCCGCATGGGCGAGCTCTACCTGGAGCAGACCAGCAGGGACACCTGGGAGCGCGCGCGCATCGCCGCCCAGCAGAACCCCGAGCCGGACGTCGTCGTCGTCATGGCCGAGGACGTGGGCGAGCCAGACGACGACGAGGGCTCCGGCCGCGGTGCCGCCGCTCCAGTCACGCCCTGCCCGAGCTTCACCTCGTCCGACTGCAGCGCCGCGAGCTCCGTCCGACTGCCCGTGCCGCCCGTGTACACGGCCGAGCCGACGCCCTCGTACGCGGCAGCACCGCCGCTGACCCGCCCGCCCCCGCCCCGATGTCTGACCTCGGACTACCTCGAGACCGTGCCCGAAGAGAGCGACAACGCCGCCCGGCTCCAGTCGCCGACGACGCCGAGGAGGCCGCCGCCGGTCCAAGAGGACGAGAGCCTGCTGCCGCCGCCGTACCAGGAGTGCAGCGGGGAGGAGCCCGAGATGGGAACCCTCGACTACTACTACGTACAGGACGATACGCCGCCGTCGCAGGACGACGAGGAGGCCGGCAGCGGTGCCCACGACTGCGCCGAGGCGACCGGTCGAGAGTCCTGCAAGCTTCGCCCCAACAGGTTCAGTCTACCGGCGATGCAGTTTACATGGCCAGAGGCATAAAAGGAGCAATGTTCTTTTTTTTTATGCCTTTTTTTACTGTAATGCATATATAATATTATAACACTTGTTCTTTTTCTTTCCTCTTCATTACTTCCCAAAGACTTGTGTGTAACATTATGCCATCGCGTGCCACGCTGAAAACCAAACCTATTGTAATGTTTGTTGTTTCTAGAGATGGGGGGGTTTTTTTTTTTCGTTTTTGTTTTTCCGAATGATATAAGTGGTAGTCGCCTCATGGCATATCCGAAACCAAAGTCACCCAGCGTTAGGCGAATTCTCCGAATTGGCCATCGTCAAAGCCCATTTCCATGAGCGACTTGCGCTTCGACTTGACATCTTGCGCGCTCGGCGGCGGCGGCAGCGCAAAACCAGCACCACCGCTGCCACCGCCCAGACTGCTGCTGCCACCGCCTGCTTCCGGCCGACTCGACGACGACGGCGGCGGTGGCGGCGGCAGCGCAAAGGACTGCAAGCTCTTGCCCTCCTGCTCCTGCTGCTGCTGTCTCCTCCGTCCAAACTTGCCCCCGATATTAATCGTAATCGTCTCTCCCTCCTTGAGGCTGTAGTCCTTTGCCGGCAGCGCCTCCTTCTTCTTCCTCTCCTCCGGCTTCCCGCCGCCTTGCTCGCCGGCCTCCCAGCCGAGAGCCTTGCGCGCCTCCTGCAGCGCCACGGCAAAGTCGAACGCTTCCGGGCGCTCCTCGAAGCCGATGCCCAGCACGGCCTTGCGGCCGGCCTCGTCGCGCACCGTCAGCGCAAAGAAGCGGGCGCTGTCGACGGCGGGCTCGACGGCCGCGGGGTCCGCGTACGGGCAGGCGGCAAAGAGCTGCCCGGTGCGAGGGTCTTCCAGGACAATGTCGGTCTTGAGCTGCTGAGAGGAGGAGGCGGAGGCGGCGGGGGACTGGTCGTAGGATGTCTCGACGACGCGCATCCGGGCGGCAAAAATCTCCCGCGCGGGGTCCGCGGTCCACGACGCCGCATTGTGGCCGCGCATCGACGCCATGGGCGGGATCGAGTAGACGTGCACATTGCTGGCGAGGAAGAGCACGCGCTGGATGGCATCGGGCGGCAGCGCCTTGCCGGTGGCGGGATCGAGCAGCTCCATGGGTGGTGGGCGGTCTCTTTTCCTTTTTTGTTTTCGCTGCGTTTGCTTGGGGGGGTGAAGTGACGACGGTGACAAGTTGTTGCGTACGTGTGTGTGGGTGGTGGTGAGCAAGGGTTGAGTTTCAGCGCCGCCCCGGGCGGGGTATTTATTCAGGCGGGTAAAACCGCTTTGTGAATTTCTATCAAGACAAGGTGAAGCAGAGTAGACGGGCAAGTCGCTTGCAGTAAATAGAGAATGGGTATTACGGAAAGTGTAAGGGAGGTTGAAGCTGTCGTGTTTGATAGCTTCCGACGTAGGTACGGTTGTACCTATGTCCCTAGCTGGGGAGCTTCTCCGCGGGGTCGTATTTTTTGGCGGGGCGCACCACAAACCCCCGACTGGTCCGTCTCAGCTGCTAGGTAGGCAGTTGGGTGAGGACAGCTCCATGCTACAAACATCCAGAGAGGCGGTGCCATGGGTGCCTTTTCTTTTTTGACCACCTAGCTGATTATTAGTGCGTCAAACGACGTCACTTCCCTCCACGGGATACGTGGACGAGCAGTGGTTGGTGCAATTTTGGACTTGCTCTGATCCCGCCAGATCACCCACATCTCCCAACCAGACGCCACTTTCAGCGAACATGCACGTATTTGCCTCGCCATCACACGTAAACCGAAATGCCATTAAGCTACTGAGAGTCAGAAACTATAGTCCTTTTCTAACCTCTCTACCGGTAACACCCATCTTGCATGATCGTCAGCCCAGTCCCCCATACTTGTAGTCACATTTTTTGGCAGTACACCCAAGCATATACCCTCTTGCTTTTTCTAACACAAAATTCAGGCCTCTATATCATCCTTCTACTCATCCTCCTCATCCTCCTCCTCATCCTCTTCTTCTTCTGCTTCCTCCTCCTCCTCCCCCTCCTCCCCGGCTTCCGCCTCCACCTCTTCCGCTTCCTCGTCCACTTCCTCGTGCCCATTTACTGCCGCAGCCGCGACGTCAATCGAGGAGCCACCCTCGGACTCCAGCTTCAACCAGGCATCCCACTCGGGGAAAAGGTCGTCGTCTTCGCCGGGGAGACCAATGAGCTTGGCGACACGACCTTTCTTGGATTTTTCCAAGTTTTCCTTCCACGCTGTGACGGCGCCCGGTGTCAGGCTGGGCTTATACGTTTGTGTAAATAGTACCGACTCGGCGTATCGCTCTGTCTTCGCCAGGATACTCTGGCACTTTTGCACATCTCCCAGCAGCCAGTAACACGAAAAGGCAACATTGTTAGCCGCTCTCTCCTCAGCTTGCGCGGCCAGCTTCGCCAGACCGTCGCGGTCACCGGTGGACGAGTGGAGTAGTAATAGAGATCCAATGTCTTTGGCCTGCGTGAAGCACTCGGCAGCCAAAGCAACATCCCAAGCGGCAAGGGCCGCGTCACCGACCGTCTTCCATTTATGCTCAGTATCGGCGGCACGAGCAAGCTCCAAAGCAATGTCAAGCTGGTTCAGGCCGAGAGCAAGATCAAACTTGTGTTCGGGGTCCGTGGCAACTTCCAGGGCGAGTTCCTTGTGGCCCTGTCCCTCAAGAAACCGCGCAATCTTGTTCAGCTGGTCGCTGGGAATGGTGGGTAGCAGTTCGGCGGCAGTTTCCATATCCTCGCGTAGAACAAGAGTTTGGTACTCGAGGACGGGTAGCGACAGACCAAACGATGTGACATTGACATCCTTGTCCGCGAGGTAGATTCTCGAGTCTCTCTGGATATAACCCAAGACGTACATGGCCTTGTCGAAGTGTGAGACCGTGTAGGTCTGGTCGCCGACTAGGTAATTTAGTCGGTTGGTGCTATTCGTGTAAATGAAACAGTCTCCGACCCATTCACCGGTGCGTACACTATTCGCTGTTAGAAATCGCCGTGCTGGTCGTGGAAGTTAACTCACGTCTCGCTAATGTCAGTAATGACTTCGAAAGCGGCCTCCACACCGTCATCGTCGACGTCGCCAGCCTGGACGGCCTCAGTATAGTTTTCTCGGGAGAACCGGAGGACGTAAAAGGTGTCCTCGCAAGCGATGGTAACAAGCTCGCCGCTCTCGGACCAGTAAACGTGCTTGGGCTCAACCTCGATTCTGCGAACAAGGCCGCCGGTGGCCCAATCAAAGAAAGAGATACCGCCCTGTCCAATAACACCAAGAAGAACACCACCGGTCAAGCCATCGGCTTGGAATCCAACATCAAGACCACCAGACTTTTCGGAAAAGTTCTTGTAAATTTTAACAGTCGTCGGCGTCTCGCGAATAGCAAAATCATTGCTGTTCTCCTTGGAAGCCCAGACAAAGTCGAGGGCGGAACCGAACGCTTTGTTACGCCATGCCAGGGCAGTATAGATGATGTATTCGCCATCGCCGCAAACGGCAACAAAACGTCCGTTCGGCGAGTGGATCAAAGTCTGGGGGTAGACTTCGCAGGTTCCGAGGTCCTTGGTCGGCAGTGAAATAGGATCGTTATCCTCGGTTTCAGAGTCTAGCTTCAATTAGTAAATGGGTTCAGCCACCCGCATTGTTCTTGTTACTAACCGCCCTTGATAATCGAAGAAACAACCTCGTTGTGCTTAGCCCAGATAAGCTTGCCAGAAGCATCCATCGACACTGCAGGTTCCTCACGACCAAGCTTAACAACCACGACACCGTCATCAAAACCAGCAGCAATGCATTGCTGTCCTTTTTGTGAGGAGACACACCACGCGCGCTCCATACTGTAGTTCAGAGACGTCTCGAAACGGTAGGTGTTGGCATGCCAGACTCGCAGGGTGCCATCTTCCGACCCGGAGACAATTACGGGGAGCTCAGGGTGGTAAACAGCAAACGATACGTTGTGTGTGTGGCCTTCAAGCGTCGCAATGAGCGACTTTGTCGTGTAGTCCCAGATCTTGATGGTTCGGTCATCAGAGGTTGTGAGGAGATACGGCTTGTCGGAGTGGGGGTAATAATCGACATGATTAACACCCTTGGTCTCGTGCGCTTCGAGGGTGAAGTTGGCGTGAGGAGAGCCGAGGTTCCAGATCTTGACAGTTCTGTCCAGACAGGCAGAGGCAAAGGTGTTGGTGTCCTTGGGGTTGATGGCCAGCGACAGAATGTAGTGGCTGTGGCCCTCAAAGACACGCACGCACTTCCAGCCCTTTTCCCAGTCCCATAGCTTAATAGTCATATCATCGGAGGCGGTTAGGACGAATGGCTGCGTCGGGTGGACAACAATGGCTCTGATATAGTCGGGGTGGGCTTCGAAAGAGGTAATCTTCTCCGACGTGTTATAGTTGTAGACACGAAGCTGAAAGTCATCGGAGCCGCAAACAATCCAGTTCTTGCGAGCAATGAATCTACCAGCACGGACAGGAACATCGGTCATCTCAAAGGTCTTGACGACCTGTTGAGTCTCGTAGGACGTGATGTTGACGTTGCCTGGGCTAGGTCAGTGGATCGTCGGTGACAGCTTGACGTGTGACTGTACCATTGTATAGAGTCGTGAGCACCCAAGGCTCGTGAGGATGAAAATCGATGCCCTTGACTCGGTCGCTACGGGTGTAGAGCTGGCGCTACAGATGTATCCCCGTTAGTTTCAATTCGACAGCTGGGAGGTGCCGTCGCGAGGGGGCGAGGCCAGATTGCGCCTGAGAGGAGGGCCAAGCTTGTCGGCCAGCGGTGCGGCAGGACTGCATGTCGAACAATACATGGTAAAGTATGAACGTACCTTGACGTCGAGCTTCATGTTGACGGTATCTATCCGGTGCTCGCGGCGTTGTAGAGGTAAGTTGTCAACGTGGAAAGGCGGCGTGGAGGATCCCCTGATAGTGGGGTTGGCGGGCTAGGAGGCGTGGACAAGAGTACAGGTCACGACCATGAGACGGACAGTAAAAGATTGGTTAGTTTTGGGTGCTGGTGCTGTAAGGAAGCTTGGCAATTGAAATGAAAAATTAAAGAAAACTGAAACAGCGCAGATATGCGTTGCTGATGCACACAATGGATTTGGCGACACGATTTCGAAAATGTGGCCAACTAGAGCTCCGGGCGGCGCAGAATTTGTGCCTAAATTCTTAGGCACCAACCACCTAGTATACACTTACACTGAGAAACACAATGATGAGAGCTTCTTGTAAGATGGCTACTGTCAATTGCGTTTCTCTATTGTAGCTCTTTGAGTGTTTGAGGCTGTGTATCTATATGCTTTTTGATTAATTCAGTTTGACGAAGAATGGATAGTGCTGCCACAGCCCTATCGGTAGAGGAGAAGGAATTAATGCAACTACATAACCGGGTACTATTGATTGAATACAAATACATGTCATACAACGCATGACAGCTTACGAGATATTATAACTATCCTTTGTTTGTTTGTTTTGGTCCCCCAATTCGGACCGGGTGCCATGATTGTTTGGGTAATGTAAATCGGCCGAATAAATGACTTTCTCTCAATCAGCTAGCTAACTTTTGATCCATTGCCAGGTCTTCAACATTTCTTCGGCGGATGTCAAGGTCTAGAGTCCAACATGGTATGTAAACCAAATTCACAAAGGTACAGGGTATGGGTTTTTGGTGAACCAACCAGGCATTCCGTCAGGACAAGACATTTCGACACTACCATCACTGTTTTACATGTTTTACGGTGTGACATTGCGGTCACCAATAATCGGCCACCGATGTCCGGGTCATGTCTATCACCCCGGCTTGGAGCTTGTTGGTGGGCATGGTGTTGGCACAGTACGTGGAGTCTGATTGACACTGTGGCTCGATACCCCGTTCGTTAGGTTTGTCAATGGCCACTGATGACATGACGCACAGTGCGGCTTCTGCTTTGGGCCTTGCGTCTTCATCGTAACTAACTTTGGCCAGCGCCACGTTTATGCTCCCTCGGGTATCTGCTACAGCGGCTGCAGCTGAAAGCTGGCGCCATTTCTCCCACTGTATTCGAGGTACCCAGGTACAAGCCACCATGCGCTGCACAGCGCTACTACTACTGTGTGCACAGCCCCGAGCCCGAACCTCCCCAGCCCAGCCCAGCCCGGGCGCAGCGCGCCCGGCGATAGCACAATCTAATAAACCAGCCCTTCCTGGCTTCCAGCCTTCCAGGCCCGTGATGTCCACATCATTGCTGTGCTTGGCCCTCCACCAGTCTCGCCTCACCCCTTTAGCATCCTCTCGCCTGATATCTATTTTTGTCTTTCCCAACTCTTTTATTGCCCAAGGTCCGCTGATTCTCCCCGCTGCTTACTCCTACATCCCAATCTCCCTCTCTTCACAGCTCTCGCTCTGATCTCAACAATACAATCCGCGGCACGCAGAAACCTTGGGCCGCTATTCCTATCCGCCTGCGGGGTTGCCGACCTGCATCCACCACCACCTTTCCCTTTTCCTCGCCCGCCAGTGCCTGGTTTAATCCTCCTCTTGTCTAGCCACGACTCTACAACCCTGAATCGATCTCCATGCCAATTCGCCACCACTAGAAATATCGCATACGCCTTCCCCGCGTCTCTTCTCGCGTCCCGACGCTTCCACGCCCGCACCCTTTCCTACACCAATAGCATCCGTCAACCCAGAATACCTCACAGGTTCCGCGACAAATGGCAATGTCGTGGAAACTCACCAAGAGTACGTTTCGACCCCCTTCTCCAGTCCGGCACAGCGTTCCCGGCTGTGGTCCTATTGGACAGCGCCTGCTGCTGAATGATGTGCTGACAACTCGTTTAGAGCTCAAGGAGACGCACCTGGGCACTCTGAGCCCATTTTCCCGATCTGCTTCGACCTCAACTATAACAGAAAAAGAGGAAAAGGGCCAGCCTAGCCCTGGGCTGGAAGCCCCCATTCCCGAGAATGATGCCGGTATGTCGCACTCAACACCCGCAAACCCCGAAGTTTTGTTTCACAGGCTAATTCGAACCCGAACCTGTAGTTTCTGCCACAGGCATGGTTCAGGCTCCCGTCGTAAAACCGCCAAAGCCTGGTATTCTAGTTGTCACCCTCCACGAGGGCCAGGGATTCGCTCTCCCCGAAGAGCACCGAAACACGTTCACCTCACAGCACCAAGGCTCCTTGTCAACGAGCAATGCAACGGCTGCAGGCTCTGTCAGACCTGGGTCCCAACGAATGGCGGGATCCCTGGCCACTAATGGATCAAACCGACCTCATTCGTCTGCTGGCGGCTTCTCCGGCATTCCTTCAGTCCACGGCCGAATATCAGGAAAATATATGCCCTACGCTCTCATCGATTTCGACAAGGTCCAAGTTTTTGTCAGTTCTGTTCAGGGAAACCCTGAGAATCCTCTCTGGGCAGGTGGCAACACTCAGTACAAGTTTGACGTATCCCGTGTCACAGAGCTCGTCATCCACCTGTATTTGCGCAATCCGAATGCTTCGCCAGGCGCAGGACGCAGCCAGGACATTTTCCTGGGCGTAGCTCGTATCAACCCCAAGTTTGAGGAACGACAGCCATTTGTGGAAGATCCCAAGCTCAGCAAGAAGGACCGTGAAAAGGCAGCCGCTGAGTATGCTCAGAAGCAGAATACTGAGGGCCACAGTGGTGTCGAATGGGTCAACGTTCAGTTTGGCTCTGGCAGAATCAAGGTTGGCGTCGAATACGTGGAAACCCGAGTTGGTAAGCTCAAGATTGAGGACTTTGAACTGCTCAAGGTCGTCGGCAAGGGCAGTTTCGGCAAGGTCATGCAGGTCCGCAAAAAGGATACCAATCGGATTTATGCCCTCAAAACAATTCGAAAGGCGCACATCATTTCGCGATCCGAAGTTGCGCATACCCTAGCCGAACGATCCGTGTTGGCGCAGATTAACAATCCTTTCATTGTCCCCCTCAAGTTCAGTTTCCAGTCGCCGGAGAAGCTGTACTTTGTCTTGGCATTTGTTAATGGTGGTGAGCTCTTCTACCATCTCCAAAAGGACGGACGATTCGACGTGAACCGGGCGCGATTCTATACGGCTGAATTGCTGTGCGCCCTCGAGTGCCTGCATGGATTTAGTGTCATCTATCGCGACCTCAAACCTGAAAACATTCTTCTTGACTACCAAGGCCATATTGCGCTGTGCGACTTTGGACTTTGCAAGCTTGACATGAAGGATGAGGATCGAACAAACACATTCTGCGGCACTCCCGAGTATCTCGCGCCGGAACTACTCATGGGCCAAGGCTACAACAAGACGGTTGACTGGTGGACGTTGGGTGTTTTGCTTTACGAGATGTTGACGGGTCTGCCGCCGTACTATGACGAGAATACGAATGAAATGTACCGCAAGATCCTGGCCGAACCACTGCACTTTCCCGAAATTGTGCCACCGGCCGCCAAGGACCTGCTCGCCAAGCTGCTCAACCGCGACCCAAAGCAGCGACTTGGAGCTAACGGCTCTGCTGAAATCAAGGCACATCCGTTCTTCCACGCCATAGATTGGCGCAAGTTGCTGCAGCGCAAGTACGAGCCTACTTTCAAACCCACTGTGGTAAGTGAAAATGTCGGTAACTTCTGTTGTTTTCACATTGCCAACTCCTCGCAGCGCGATCCGTTAGATGTCATCAACTTTGACCCAGAGTTCACTTCGGAGACACCGGCAGACTCGTATGTTGAGGGCCAGCCGCTCTCCCAGACGATGCAGAACCAGTTTACTGGGTTCAGCTACAACAGGCCGATTGCCGGATTGCACGATGGCGGCGGCAGCGTTAGGGGTCCTTCTTTTGTGGGTAGTATCCCCGAGCATGAGTAGAAGATAAAGAGATGATATTGGCATTGTGATTTTTGCAATGGGCGAAACTGGCAAATGAAAATTCTAGGCGTTTATGGTCTTTTCTTTGTTTGTCTCAGCGGGTCTGCTGAGCAGATCTTTCTACTTTTGATGGTGCGCGCTTGACATGATGGACAATTTGGCACCTCATGTCAGACGAGACGATTCAATGGTGAAGGCAAGCGTATCAGCATGCTGCTTCCGGCGAGAGATATAAGTAGAAACTAGCATTTCCTTGGTGTATTATTTTGAGTTTATGGATTCAACCACTGCTGTACTCGGAATGGATCTGTAGACCAGACCTATATGTGCTCATTGCAGTTGAAATCTTGGCATGGATGCCTTTTAAGATTCGAGTGCGATTCGTTGCAATAACCGCCACCAATCACTGTATGCGAGCGGTTGATTGTGAGCTGTTACCACGCGTCGTAGCCGATAGAGGCAATTATGAGAACCTCTCACGACGTCGAAAAGCAGCTGTGGAATCACTCCTGATGCTGTCAAGCAGGTAGCTCTACGCCTGCCTAAGCTTATACTCTTTGTATTCTCTTTTTCTTGTAATATCACCTATACCTACTGTATTCCGTATATTTCTTAAAATTTCTAATGCTTACTGTCTGGGCTCGTTCTTTTTATCCCGGATGTCACGTCACATTGCCCTTGTTTGGCCCACGATGCTGACTGGATTGCCGGGTAGTGCCTGCGACAGACCGGAGCCTTCGTTTTGTTGATCTCGAGCACCTCATCGGAAAGAAATTGGAGGCAATGGGCAGTTCTACCGTTTTCTTTCATAAAACCGATTGAAAAAAAAAACAATTCTTGAGTAAATATCATCTACAGCAACGTCCCGTCCAACCCCGGGCGGCGGGGCTGCCTTTTGCGGCTCTTCCAAGAAAGGCGGCCCCGCAGCAGCTCTCAACTGGTAGTCTGCGTTGCGGTATTTCATCATGAGCTCCATCTCCGTTGCCCCGTCACTCGGCTTTTGTTCTTACATATACCTAAATAACCGCGCAAACCTCATCCGATACTCGAGCTTGGCAGTCTTGACTTTTAGTTCCAGGTATGTCGCAAAATGAGTGCCGCAGGGTCTGGGGCGACTCTGAGGCTGGCTGCCCCGCCCCCTCCTCCGGTTGCCCCTCCATCGTCTCAAGCTTTGATTGATGATGCTTCCGTCATCCATCCCACCTGGTATTCAGCAATTGGTCATCCTCTACACCTTGTTTCCCTAGAAACTTGTGTAGATATTCTCCGAAATTCCTCGAAACATCTCACCTCTTTCCGTATTCTCCAATTTCTTGCTTTTCCGTGCTCGACTGTTCTCTGCTAACAAGCTACTTGCCCACTGCAAGGCACATTCCCCGAAGCTTCCCAACAAACGCGATTCTCCGAACCTGCCGAAGGAGTCGTCCCGATCCAGCCCACTCAAAGCACAAACTTTTCCTCATCTTGCGGCATTTCTTGTTCACGCAGCACTACGCATCTTCGAAATCATGGCGCCGGCTAACACCCTTCCCGCCTGGTCGGAGCTCAATGCTCACCGCGACACCATCAGCAAGTCCTTTGTCCTCAAGGAGGCCTTTGCCTCAGACCCCGAACGTTTCAACCGCTTCACTCGCACATTCAAGGCCCCCGGCACTTCGGCCGATATTCTCTTTGACTTTTCCAAGAACTTTTTGACCGATGAGACCCTCGACCTCCTCGTCAAGCTTGCCGAGCAGGCCGGCGTCGAGCGCAAGCGCGATGCCCTCTTCCGTGGCGACAAGGTCAACTTTACCGAGAACCGCGCCGTCTTTCACCCCGCCCTGCGCAATGTTAGCGGATGGGAGATGAAGGTTGACGGCCAGGACGTCATGGATGTGCCCGGTGGCGTCAACGACGTCCTGAAGCACATGAAGGAGTTTTCCGAGCGGATTCGCAGCGGTGAATGGACCGGCTTCACTGGAAAGAAGCTGACTACTATTGTCAACATTGGCATTGGTGGTTCCGACCTGTAAGTCGCCTTTCAAAGTGTTTTAAACTGGACATGTTTTAATTTGTGTAGTGGCCCTGTCATGGTGACTGAGGCGCTCAAGCACTACGGCGCCAAGGACATGACCCTTCACTTCGTCTCCAACATTGACGGCACCCACATCACTGAAGCCCTCGCCAATTCGGACCCCGAGACGACCCTGTTTCTCATTGCCTCAAAGACCTTTACCACTGCTGAGACGACTACCAATGCCAACACGGCCAAGACGTGGTTCCTCGAAAAGACTGACAACAAGGGCGAGATTGCCAAACACTTTGTCGCTCTGTCGACCAACGAGGCCGAGGTTACCAAGTTCGGTATTGATAGCAAGAACATGTTTGGCTTTGAGAGCTGGGTCGGCGGCCGCTACTCAGTCTGGAGCGCCATTGGCCTGAGCGTTGCTCTGTTCATTGGCTACGACAACTTCCACAAGTTCCTCAGCGGCGCCCATGCCATGGATAAGCACTTCAAGGAGACTCCTCTCAAGGAGAACATTCCCCTTCTTGGTGGTCTCCTGAGTGTCTGGTACTCCGACTTCTTCCAGGCTCAGACTCATCTCGTTGCTCCGTAAGTAGTGGCTAATTTTGCCAGAGGAAAGCGCTAATACATGACAGTTTTGACCAGTATTTGCACCGCTTCCCCGCCTACCTCCAGCAGCTCTCCATGGAGTCCAACGGTAAATCCATCTCTTCTGATGGCTCCGCTGTCAAGTATACTACTGGTAAGCTCAGGATCTTGCCACTTGTTGATGCTCACAAGCTAACAAGACAGGCCCCATTGTGTTTGGTGAACCTTGCACCAACGCGCAGCACTCGTTCTTCCAGCTTGTTCACCAAGGTACCAAGCTGATTCCTACCGACTTCATCCTGGCTGCTCAGTCACACAACCCTGTCTCGCATAACTTGCACCAGAAGATGCTCGCCTCCAACTACCTTGCCCAGGCTGAGGCCTTGATGGTCGGCAAGACGGAAGAAGAGGTTCAGGCTGAGGGTACTACCGGCGACCTCGTTCCTCACAAGCGCTTCTTGGGCAACCGCCCTACCACTTCCATCTTGGTTGGTGGTAGCATCGGACCCGGCGAGCTGGGTGCTCTGATTGTCTACTACGAGCACCTGACGTTTACTGAGGGTGCCATCTGGGACATCAACAGCTTTGACCAGTGGGGTGTCGAGCTGGGCAAGTCTCTGGCCAAGAAGATTCTCAAGGAGATTGATGAGTCTGGAAACGGCCAGGGCCACGATACCTCGACTGGCGGTCTGCTGAGCGCTTTCAAGAAGTACTCCAAGATTTAAGGGATACGGGGGGTGGTGCAAGGACGAGACAAATGAGTAATAAGTACTACAGTTAGCCGGACTAGGCAATACAATTTTCAGCTGCAATAAGCCATGTGAAGCCAAGTCACGATGATGTTTGAGTGTAGTGATGGGAATCATCGTGATGAGTTGTAGGAATGTGGCTGGATGGGACGGAGAGCACGGCGTGGCTGACGTTGAGATTCTAAAGACACAAGGAATGCCAGAATGTCATTACATGATGCTGGAAGACTGGTATGAATGGTGTGCACATACTATGCGGATCGACATTGCTTTAAAAAAAATGAATGGTGAGGGGCATATGCACAGCACAACGCCATGCCATGCCACGTTGACTGCATCCACAAGGCAGCCGTTGTCATTACGAGAAATATTGGCTCGCAACTAGATAGAAATGGGGAGCTTCCAAGTACCTACTGGGGGGAGAAACTCCGTATTTCCCGAGGCCTATCTTGGAGGTATGAGGGATATGCGGAGCCGGAGTGCCTTTTCGTTCCAGGCTCGGGCTGTATGAGACATACTGGAGGGAGGTTTTCGGACGGGAACTCGCGATGATTTACTTACGGCTTCATTTCTCGTCTGCGCGGCAAGAGACAACTTAAGCTTGGGGCACCGACGAGGAAGAATTCTTTTGCACGAGCATGCACTGGCATGGCGACGTGTAAGCGGACGGGATGGGGAAGCGTGAGAAGGGGGGACTACCCGGGAGGGGGGGCCATGCTAGGAACGGACCGTGTGAGCGAGATATGTATGCTAGCAGGGCTCGAAGCACGAGGGAATTAACAAAAAGTGACGAAGGAAAAGAGGGTTATCATGAGGAGTGGCATGGATGGCGCGGGATGCAAGGTGTCACGTTATAGTGTTGTCTATGCTTACGAATAGTAAAGGCATTGCACATGTGCGCAGATTAATAATAGATAGCTTAGAAGCTAGAGGAATAATCTCTTATTAAATAATATATCTAGTATATCTAGTATATATATATACTTTTTTTGACTAAATAGAACTTATATAATATAATAACTTTACCTCTCATCCTATGTGTGTCCTGTTGGCCCTAACAGCAGGACCGCGACGGCCGGAAGCTAAAGACCGCTCCCCCTGAATGCCTTCTATGGCCATGGCGTAAATCTTTCCGTCCTTTAAACCCTGCCCTGTTTTAAGTGTGTGCCTGGCGCCGTTCGGTGCTAGCCAAGGGCCCGGCCGTGAGCGCTCCCCCGGACATGGCGGCGGCATGAAGCTTCATTGTAAGGATCCTTGGATCCAGGGTCCAGATCGCGTAGTCCGGTTCAGCGGGTTTTGTAGTCTTTGAGTCTGAGCACCGGGCCAAAACGTGGGTGCTCGAAAATGTATATAAACCCCCCAGATAAGTCTGCAAGTTGGATTGAAGGAGCCGCCAACCAACACAACCAACACAAGCAAACAAGACCACCTATCTATCAACCATCACTTCGGACTTTCAACCTTTACTTCTTCACTCGTCCATGAACAAGTTTATCCTACCACAACCACCATCATCAAGTTCCGGCTCGGCCTTTTCGTCTCTGCCGCCGCCTCCGTCTGCGCCGCCCCGACGTCAGCCCCGTCCTCCATCCAAGCCAGAACGGCCCCCGGCCTCGACGAGACCCAGAGCCGCCATGCCCAAGCCATCCTCGACCGCGTCAAGTCCGAAGACGTCGGTGATCTCGGCTGCCACGCCGCCATTGCCACCGCCATGACCGAGGTAAACGCCTGCCCCCCCCCCTTTTCCCAACCCAAGCCATTCTTCTTCTTGGGGATTGGGGGCACGACAGTTTTGACTTTATAGGATTCCATGAGATTTGGGCATTATAGACATTTTGCATTGGCATTTTACAACTTGGGGCTGATACCAATAGAAGGACATCATATAGACGGAGCACATAAATTTGTTTTCAAATTTTATTCATATCAACTGTTAACTAGCCCGTTGCTGCATGACATGCGAGCCCACGTCGGCCAAGACGATCGGGGCTCTGACTTAGGTAAGAGCTATTCGAGGGGTTTACTTGCCAACACAAGAAGCGGAACTCGAAACCGAAAAACCCATTCGATTTGTCACATTCCCTTTGAAAGCTGCATGTCATATATTAAGCTCTCGCCACAAAGCGGATCGGTAGGGCGTCGCGGCTGCCTTGCAGACCTCTCAGTCCAGAAGTCTCCGTGCGGGCCACGCGCCATCTATAGATTACTTGGCCAATAGGAATCGAGCCAAGTTTCGGTCGCGAGCACGGCCCGATGTGACAGCCCTGTTGGGCAAGAGAAGAGAGAACAAGTTAGTTCGTTGTAGTTACAACCCCCCGGGGGGGCAAAGGACCCTCTCCATTCAAAGCAAATCCGACTTTGCCTTGTACTAATTTTATCGTTCATGTAATTTTCTTTATACAGCCAAGCAATGTGCGGGCGTCGAGTCGGACAAGATTACAAAATAGGCTTCTACTTAAAGACCGCCAAGCCCGGCCAAGACAAGAAACACCTGCCCAAAGCAGAAGGTTCGGTAGTTAGCGCAAACAATTAATTCCAAGAGGCAACGACATCTTTTCCACAACGGCGACAGAAGCACTGCTTGCCTAAAATGCCAAGTGGAAGGCATCCGGGTACAGCTCGGGACTCGGATTGTGACAAACGCCAAGGTAGCAACAGGCAGCGCCACAGCGAAACCGCGTAGATGTGCCCGGTCATGAGGGGGGTACCAGCAGCATTGTGTATTCTGTCGTTATTGCAGCTGTTTTGAGTACTTATAGACCCCGTCAGCCCTGCCTCGGAGCTGAGCTTCCTTTTCGGCCTCGTCAAGTCTCCCAGCGTCTCAAGCTCGCGACAAGTCAGAAACATACATCATCGAATATCGGCCCGCCATGGTTCGTTTTGCTTCCGTGGCCGTTGTAGGCTCTGCCATGGCCGGCGTTGCCAGCGTGGCTATTGCTGGTTCCAAGGCCGACTACCAGTCCGGCGCGGTTCATGCTCACATCATGGCTCGCAAGATGGTAAAAGCTCAGTTTCTTTTTCTTGACTTCAAGGGCAAATCCAACACTAACAAGCTTTGATTTGTAGGAGCATTGGAAGGAAGAGGAGCAGGCTGGTCTCATGAATAGCGCCCAGTACCCTGAGCTCGGCTACACCCCTTGTGTCAATGGCTTCGCCGCAGCCATCCCCGGCGACTCCATGAACACCTTTCGGTGCCGAAACGTGAGGATTACCCCCCCCCCCCCCCTGATTCTTTGCTCGTCTCGTAAAGCCGCTCTCTGACAGATGCATTTTGTTTTGCAGGTCGACCTGTACCACTTCCTCCCCCACACGGCGCTCGGCAGCTCGGTCGGTCGTGGTTCGTCCTCCTGGGGCTGGACCTCGGCCGACGGCCGTGAGTTTGTCGTCGTTGGCCAGATGGACGGCGCCGCGTTTGCGGAAATCACCCAGGAAGGCAAGTTGAGCTACCTCGGCCGGCTGCCGCCGTACTCGGTCCCGAACATGTGGCGGGAGATTCGCGTCGTCAATGACCTCGTCGTCATCGGCTCCGAGGCCCTCGGCCACGGCGTGCAGTTCCTCGACCTGAAGAAGCTGCTCACCCTCGACCCGGCGCGGCCCAAGACCTTTGCGCAGTCGGACCTGACGGGCTACTGGAACGGCCTGCCGTCGGGCCGCGCTCACAACGTCGTCGTCAACGAGGAGCGCAACTACGCCGTTGCCGTCGGCGCCGTCGGCGCCGACGCGCGCGGGCAGATGATCCGGCCGCACGACCTGCCCTGCGGCGGCGGGCTCATCTTCCTCGACATCAGCGACCCGGCCAACATCACGAGCCCCGGCTGCGCGGGCGGCGACGGCTACGTGCACGACGCGCAGTGCCTCGTCTACCGCGGCCCGGACGCGCGCTACCACGGCCGCGACATTTGCTACGGCTACAACGAGGACACGCTCACCATCTACGACGTGACGGACAAGACGGGCAACGTGACCAACATCATCTCCATCAGCGACTACCCCGGCGCCACCTATGTCCACCAGGGCGCCGTCAACAACGACCAGTGGCAGGAGTACCTCTTCCTCGACGACGAGTACGACGAGGAGTTTGCCACGGTCGGCCCCATGGCGCGCGGTCTGACGACGACGCACATTTTCGACATTCGCGACCTCGAGAAACCCGTCTACACCGGCCAGTACGCCGGCAAGACGCGCGGCAACGACCACAACCAGTACATGCACGACGGCTTCCTCTACCAGTCCAACTACGGCAACGGCCTGAGCGTGCTCGACGTTGCCAGCGTCACCTCGGACCCCACCGGCGCCGGCATCTGCGAGGCCGGCCGCTTCGACATCTACCCCGAGGACGACGAGGAAGTCGGCGGCGGCCGCGTGCGCACCAGCGGCACCTGGTCCTCGTACGCCAAGTTCCAGTCGGGCTTCATCCTCGTCCATACCATTGAGCGCGGCACCTTTGTCGTCAAGATGACGTCCAAGGAGTGCGAGAAGCCGGCCTCGTGTAGCGCCGACAACTGCATGCGCGCCCTGCGCGCCTCACACATCCCCGGCCGTCTCGAGGAGAGCCAGCAGTTTTGCTGGGATTTCACCAGACGCCTCAACAAGGATGCGACCAAGGTGCCCGAGTATGCAGCCAAGGCGTGCGGCAGTGACCCCGTCCAGCGAGTGAGCAGTGCTTGCGCTTGTATCCCGGCCCCGACGGTCCCGGTCATGACGAGGACGGATACGTTCAGATATTGGCCCACCCTTTATCCCACGCCAACGGCGTCGTAATGGGGGGTGATGCATGATGAGGGCATGATGGATAGTCGAGCACCATAGCATTCCATCAAGATTTATAGGCAAAGCAGCCGCCAACTATGTAGATGCTTAGAGCCGTGCATCCAAGACTGCTCTTCTGTCCTGTCGTGCCTCTTAATTTTCTTGTCCTGGCTACGCCCAAGGTGTAATTTTTTGGTCCTCGCTTCGCTCCATGTGTGATTGTGGGAGAATTCGCGAGCTCGGCGACGATACCAACTCCAAGAGAATCGACCCTTGGTATTGGTTGAGCGCTCCTGTGCTACCAGCCACCTCGCTGGCCTGCCAAGATTCAAGTCTCAGCCACCTTCTCCTTGTAGAATGGGACGAGGGGATGTCGGAGCCATGCAAGACCGAGTACAAGCGTCGTCAACAAGTCGGCCCGGCCCGGGGTTGTCGCAAAATGAACGAGTTTGCCAAGACTGTGTGCGGGGTGCAGCAATGAAATTGCAATTCTTACTTATCCCATCAACGTCGACCAGTAGAGTAGAATACAGGCCAAGTTAGTAAGCATAAAACAAAACAGCCTCCGAGTCTCTCTGTCGAATCTTTCTATTCTCCCTAACCAGCATCCACCGCATCAACCACGCGCCCGCCACGCAAGCGATGCAAAACCCCGCCGAGCTGGCCATGGGAATGACGTACCGCGGGGCGTCCGACTTGGGCCACAAGTACTGCCACAAGTCAGCATTCAGGTCACCACAAACCGAGACAGAGGGTAGACTTACTGGCGTCCAGATGAAGCTCACGCTCGCGCTCATATTGACAATCGCCAGCGCAGCCGCCTTCTTCTCCCGCGTCTGCCCGCACGAGCTGCCGACCCAGCCGAGCAGGATCGAGTTGACGCCGTACGTGCCAATCGTAAAGACGCACATGGCAAAGTAGCGCGCGCCGAGGTTCATCGTCGCGCAGGCCAAGACGAAACCGAGCAGCGCGACGGCCTTGGACAGCGTAATGTGCCAGGTGCGCTCGTTGTGCCGGCCCGAGGACCACGCCCACACGACGGAGAGGATGCCGGCAATGAGGTATGGTGGACAGGTGAGCAGGAGGGTGATATTGGGGGTGAAGCCGAGTGTTTCGACAATGGTTGGGAAGAAGTTTTTAAAGCCGTTGGTGGCTACCCATCAGTTAGTCATGCTCGTGGTATACTGCAGAGCGAGGAAACGTACCGAGGTGCATGTGCTGCATGTACATGAATACCCACACGCGCGCATCAACAATGGCCTCCCGGAGACCGGTCCACGGACTCGTAACGGCCCGGTAGTCCACCGTATCCCGCGCGATGCGCTCATGCGCCAGCTGCCGCTCCTCCGGCGTCAACCAGCGCGTATTCCGTGGCTCGTCCGGCAGCGTAAAGCACGACACCGCCGCCACCACCACCGTCACCGCGCCCTGCAGGATAAACAGCCACCGCCAGCCCGCCAACCCTCGAACACCATCCAGCCCGTCAAACACGCCCGCCGCAATCAGCCCCGCAAACGCCGTCGCCAGGATGTTGCCCGAGTAGAGCACGCTGATGCGCATCGCTAGTTCCTTGCGCGTGTAAAAGATGCTCAGGATGTACAGCGCGCCTGGGTAGTACGGCGCCTCGACGACGCCCAGGAAGAAGCGGGTGAGCGCGAGGTCGACGTAGGAGCGCGCGAGCGCCGTCAGGCAGCTGACGATGGCCCAGGCCATCATGAAGCCGCCCATGTACCACGAGGGCCGGACGCGCGTGAGGAGCATGTTGCTGGGGACCTGCCCGAGGATGTAGCCGACGAAGAGGACCGAGACACACGTGGAGTATTGTACGCTCGACAGGCCGAGGTCGGCTTCGAGGTGGTTCAGACGGGCGACGGCAATGGCATTGCGGTCGAGAAAGTTGAGCCAGTACATCAACCAGAGGGTAGGCTGGCAGGGCAAAGTCAGCACCGTGTCATATGAGAGACGTGTCAAGCTGGTAGAAACATACCATAATCCAGCAGTCCAGCTTCCTGACTAGCCGGATCTCAGCCGGGTCCGTCTTGGCCGCAGCGCCGGAGTAGTCTACCGTAGCCGACTTCTCCTTGAGTTCAATGCCTTCGTCGTCATGGACAGCCTGCTGTTTCTCAATATCTGAATGCTGTGCCTCACCCATCGCTTGGGCAGACACGGGAGCCTTGGGTTCAGCCATCAGAGTACACATGAGTCTGTCGAATATTTTGACTTGGTTATGAGTGAAATAACTCGACCAGTGTGACCAAATCTCTCAAGGAGCGCCGGTAGGCGCTCTGCCTTTTATCTATCATGTCTAGCTTCTTCCCCGGACTCGAGGTGGAACCTGGGGTACTATCTAGAGCCACTCCACCCCGCAATCCCCGGGTTTGGTTCCAAGCCGTTGAGGGTCGAGGCGTTGTGGTTTTGCTATCCAACCGTTCCATTTGTCCATGCCAGTGGATCACCAACGAACGATAACGACATATGAAGAAACTCGGCGGTGCGGCGCCGTTTTCCGCTCCTTGGGCTTACAGAATCCAGCCGAGCAGGCGCATGAGTCAAGAGAGTGTGGGACTCTCGGCATTCGGCGCCGCATGCCGCAACGGCGCTGTTTTCCGAGTCGATCTTTCCCTTTTCGGGAGACTCCTGCTGCTTTGGTTCGTGACTTTGTGAGACGCCTCGTCCTCACTCTGGTCGGCAGATTGAACATGCCTGCTATTGGGTTGTGGAGGCCCTCGCCTTGGCTCTTGGTATATGTATTATTGTTCCGCTCTGGCTCCGCTCCTGGAAGCCGTCAGGAGATGCGGCAGGAGTTCTGGCCCACCATCCAGAGATATTTCAGCTCAGCGAGCTCCCTATACGCAACACCCCTTCTGTAATTACCGTGCATCATTGTTTCCTTCTCAATCACAATGTTAGAGAAGCCACTATTGAGAGTTGGTAACGTCTCCGGCGCGACGGGCGACCACCCACATGCCATGGCTCGCATGGTGCGCTCGGGCAACGTCCAGGTCATCACGGGCGACTGGCTCTCCGAGATGAACATTGCCTGGAACGCCATTACCAGGCGCGATGTCGACTCGGAGCTCGGCTACGAGCAGGGGTTCTTCGACCAGCTCGAGGCTTGCCTGGACGAAATCATGACCCGCGACATTCGAGTCGTCGTCAACGCCGGGGCTCTCAACACCGCCTCGTTGTTCCGCAAGGTCAAGAAGCTATGCAAGAACAGGGGTTATTCCCCTGAGATCGTGGCCGCTGTCTTGGGGGATGACGTTTCGGTGCTCCTCGGCCAGGACGATCCCGCCAACCGCCTACCCAACGGTCTGTCCTTTCCGCATCTCGACCATCCGGAACTAACGCTTGACAAATGGGGCTTCACACCTTTGACCGGGAACGCATACATCGGTTGTTGGGGAATTGCCGCCGCTTTACGCGCTGGCGCCAGAATCGTTCTCTGTGGACGGTGCACCGATGCCTCTCCTGTCATGGGTGCTGCTGCTTGATACTATGGATGGCGCGAGGAGCAGTACGACGAGCTCGCCGGGTCCTTGCTTGCCGCTCACCTGATAGAATGCGGGCCGTACGTCGTGGGAGCCAACTTTTCAGGCTTCAAGGATTTTCTGCCAGACTTGGTCGATTTGGCCTTTCCGATTGCCGAGATCGAGCGGGACGGATCCTGCGTCATCACCAAAACGTCCGAGGGCGGTGGGCGCGTCACGCGGGATACCGTCACAGCGCAGCTCCTGTACGAGCTCCAGGGCCACTTGTACCTCAACCCAGATGTCGTGGCGAATCTTCAAGATGTGCGAGTCCAGGAAGACGGACGAAACGTCTCGCGGCTACAGAGGGAAGACCGGGTCCGCGTCTACAACGTCTACGGACTCCCTCCCCCGCCAACCACCAAAGTCATGTTTACCGCCGAGGGCGGCTATCAAGCGGAGGCAACGTTTTACATCAATGGCCTAGACGTCCAAGAGAAGGTCACAATGATGAAGAATCAGCTCAGGCATTTCTTTAGGGACAGTAACTTCAGCCATCTCAGCATCGAGCAGTACGGCAGTCAGGCCCCCAACCCGTCTTCTCAGCAAGCAGGAACCGTCATACTACGTGTCTTTGCCCAGGCGCGCGAGCTATCTGACATTGCAGCACTCAAGTTCAAGGTGCCCATTTACGCGTCCAGGATGCAGAGCTATCCAGGCTACCACATGTCGCTCGACTTCCGGACCATGGACCCCAAGCCATTTATGGAGATGTTCCCAGCCTTGATGCCGCAGAGCGCGATTCGGCACCGCGTCGAGCTCGGCTCGGGGGAGATTATACCGGTCGAACTGCCCCTCAAAACGGCCGTGTACCCAGTGAAGCGGCCCACTGGAGACACCAAAGACCCTATTGACGTGTTGTCCCTAGGGGTCACCGACTTTGTGCCTCTCGGGAGTATTGTGCACGCACGCTCTGGCGACAAGGCTGACAATTCCAATGTCGGCTTCTTCGTGCGCCACGATGACGAATACGACTGGCTGCGGTCGGTGCTGACGACGACCCGACTCAAGCAGCTCTTCGGAGATGACTGGTTCAAGAGCAACCCTGACAGGCGCGTAGAGCGCGTCGAGTTCCCGGGAATCAACGCCGTTCACTTGTAAGTGGAAAGATGTCACCGTCTTAGTGTAAATAATCTAACCTTACTAGCCGCATTCTGGATAATCTGAACGGAGGCATCGCATCTTCGGACCGAATTGATGGCCTTGGAAAGGGCATTGCAGAATATTTGAGAAGCCGACACATAGATGTGCCGCGTGTATTTTTAGATAGAGGTCGCATTTGAACAATAGACCTCCGAGCCGTCCGCGTCGAGGTATTGAAACTATAAACGCTTACCATTATCGCTGGCATGCCTGGAAACGAGGAGGCTGCACTCCGCCGGAAATTGCCGGGCGAGTGTCCAGTTCTAGAATTCATGTCCAGGGGTATCGCCGAGCCCTACCAACCAGTCCTGAGACAACTGCACTATTGCATCGCTGTGATACTGATCGTAGCATATGTCCTGCAAGTCTCCAAAGCAGTCCCTGAGCGTGCTGTCCACGGACATGTTGAATCCTGGCATCGCGGACTGCTCGAGCGCATGCTCTATCATGCTCGGCTGGGAAATTGCAGCGGAGGGTTCAGCATGACTTCTTGTCCGCATGGAACCGACTTGCAGCGTCGGCGTGGCGTTGGCCATTTGCGACTCGACGACATCAGCAACAACTGCATCGCTGAGCTTGTCAAATACTTCGGAGCAGTTTCGGGCCACCGCCCACCTCTCTGACACGGCAACCAGCACCTTGGAGCAGGCTCGAGTCGTGTTCACCACCTGACCGATGGTGGGGCCGGCACTCAGATTCGCTCTGGGGGCGTTGTCGTTTTGCTGCCGGCTCTGAGAATGTTGGAGGTGGTTGCGAAGCGCGTAGATGTACGAGAGGCCCGCGATGAATACTGAATGCAGAGTGACCCAGGAGTAATTAATCCGTCCACTCCGATGAAGATCGGCGTAGAGTAGTAGGGCAGACTGGGAGGAATCGTACACATGCTGCAGCGCGATGCTGTTTCGGGAGGTGTTGTTGAGGCATGGTGAGGGGCGGAACAGCATCAGCATCCCGTTGTGGTACAAGAGGTCGTACCATTCCTGACAACGGAAGCTCGATCTTGCAGAAGGAGCTGACGATTCCGCTTCTGTGCGAGTGAGGGGGATCATCGAGGTACCCTCGTGCCACTCCTGGAGCTCCGCGGCGAGCTCGTCCCTAGTTGTTTCGTAATTGCGGGAAGGAGCCTTGGCAGTGCTTGTTGTTCGGTGTAAGGCATTGAGGATCTTTCCACAAATGAGTCTATATCGGACAATATGAGCGAATATGGCAGTTGTGAGCTGATGGTCCGACATGGCGGCAGGGGGAACACTCTGGGGACTTGAGGGCACGACGTGGGGAAGTTCCACATCTATATCATCGAGCTGGATGGCCATGGGTCTCCCGAGGACAAGACTAGCCGTCCGGTCCATGGCAACAACGCTCCAGAAGCAGTGTCTCTTGATCTCCGATTCCTGGATCCGGAACGCCTCATCAGAGTCCGCGGTCGGAGCGCCGTTCTTGGGGGCCTCATACGTCGACGCCCTATGTAGACCGAGCTCGAAGCACATCCGGGCGCCAATACCGATGAGGTGCCAAACACTGGCTGTACTATCATGCGATGGCGTGCCCATGCGGTATTGGCAGACAAGTAGGAGCGCTTGGAGAGCTTGTATGCCTCCTTGAGAGAGAACTTCGCCCAGATGGACTGCAGCGCGGTTGTATGAGCTCTCCGCGTCCCACATCCCGCTCCAGTTTAGCTTGGACACTTGGGAAGTTCCAATTGCCAACGTCATGTTGATAATAAATGCGTCTGTCGGGCTGCACGTTCTGGTGTTGTGTCCCTCTTCTGCGGCATACACATTTTCTAGGGCGCGCCATAATGTCGTTGAGTCTAGAAAGGGATATTGCATCCTATTGTGGTTGCAATATGCATGGAGGATTTGGGAAGCGAGGCTCTTTGGTGGCAATGCTGAGGTGGCCATCGGTTGGCCGCTATGAGTTGAGACCACATTGGAGGCATGGCCGCTCTGAGGCAGTGACGCTGAGGGTTGTCCTTGGGGCTGAAGGAGGTTGGCGAGGAAAAGGCCGCTCGTGGAGCCCACGAAGTTGCGGCCTCCGCCGGCACTGAGAGAAAGATTGATAACCTCGTTCGCAACCTCATGATGCCCAGCAGTCGCCCGGGAGAATGCCTGGTTCTGATGAAGTCCGAAGTTGACAATCGAAGCTGCCGACGCTGGAGAGCGATCCCTGGCCGACGGAGGTAGGTTGTCATCGGGCGGCAATTCTGGATGGGTTTTCAGTACATTGCTCAAGCGGGCTTGTAGCGAATCGTAGTCTGTTTGAAGGTCGCGAAGGCGCTGTTCTAGTCTTTCAACATCCTGCCGCCGAAGTTGGAGCTGGCGTTCTCGCGGTGCGTACTCGCACGGAATATCGACCTGAGCGCAAACGCTACACGACGGGCGTTTCCTATCGCACCGCACCTTGCGATAGTGGCACCGCTGACATGCTCCCGTCCGGTTGGCCATTGTATTATAATAGTGCCATTTTAGAGGATTAGGTGAAGCACAATGCAATACTCTTCTTGCCGAATAGATGAGATGTTTGATGATTGAAGGAAGGAGGTACATGCCACCTCTGCGACGATTTATATCGTGCTTATGTAATGCGCATTAACATAAGTGAAATTCGCTTTGTATCCGTATTGTCTATTCATGTGCATTCAACAAGAAATGTTTATCCAGGGTCTTTTTCTTGAAATTGTATCGCGTCTTGAAAAAAACACACACAAAAATAATTGCAAATCAGCAAGTTGAGCGTTGTTGGATTGGTTGGAATACTGCTGAAAATCAGGCAGCTAATTTATCGCCTATTTGACTCCACCACCACTTCAACCACCACTTCAACCCAAGGTTACCAGTTAGGGTGTGATTTTGTGATGAGGGGGTCGACAGACAGGTGATAGCTCGGTTATGAGCCGCTGGCATATGACACGGAAGAAGTAGGAGATTGAAGGAGGAAAGAGAGAGACGATCAGCATGGGCTACAAATGATCAAGGATATGATTAGCAGCATGCTAAAATTAAGGAAAAGGGATTGATATCGTGAATAGCACATGTTGAAACAGAGCGGGCAGGGCAACCAGCTCGGGTAGACGGCGGGAAGGTGATGAGGTGGTGCAAGTTAGCTGGGGAGATGTTACCGAGCTGGTAAAGAGGAAACGGTGGCTTAGAGTAGCCTGGGAGTAGCCTGCGCCATCTAAAACGGTGGCTGAGAGGTACGTACCCTGATGAGGAAGCGGAACAGCCGAAAATGGATTGCCGGACAAGGCGGAAAGTTTGTTATCAGAAGACGGGCGGCAAGACCGTAACGTAAACTGAGCGATTACTTAGTTACTGGTAGTGTCCTGACTAGTTAATGTGTCCTCGGGAAAGCAATAAGGCTGTGCCAGTGAGGCTCAGTGGTTGAAGCACGTTTCTGCGGACCCCCTGTGGGAGACATGTGCATCATGTTATGTAGTGTAGAATGGAGTCTTTGACTTGCATTCAGCAGCAAGCTATAACTTTTGCTCTGTTGCACAGGGTAGTAGCTACTGCCGGCTAATAGGGAGGGATACAATAAATCAACGGATACTGACGCGGGGAGTTGATCCTAAGATGACAATGAGAGGAACGAGGCGGTATACACGCAGGCTGAAGATAGCGCAAGCCGTTATGATTAGCGCCGGCCGCACTGCGGCCAGGTCTGCGGTGGCGAATAAAGCCGCTTATACGTGCAGCCAATGCAAGTTGACGAGCAAAGCTAGTTATCTGTAACTAGAATTGAGACGGTGTCCTTTTGGCAAAGCCTGGAAGATACGTTGGGCAGGCTGCGCAAAACAGCCGTACAAGCCTCGTCGTCGGGAGCCGGGCCAGTGGTGCATAGGGAAGCGAACCTGGCCATGGCACGTAGCCGAGGTGTGGGGGACGAAATAGAAGCCAAGGTACATAGTCGAGAAAATGAAGCCCTTGACGAGAATTGGGGGTTTTGATATTCATGCAGACAGGCATGACGTGCTTTACCCGTTTTGAATGACATCAAGTCGAAACAAGCAACTGCACTGTTGTCTAGAACCGTTCTCCACGCTGGAGAAGGGAATGATGCTATGCATTTTTGTGGGTGGGCAATGAATTACATCACCGCGATCGGTTGGGAATAAAAAAAAAGGGACCCCAAGTCCCTAGGATGTGGTGATGTAACGAGGGGTTTCTTTGCTGTAGTCATTCGTGCCACCGACGAGTTACCGAAACGACGTCATAGTCATAGTTAGTGGTGGTTTTTGCTTCTCGGAACCCCGCGGCACTATTATTGAGGGGGCGGCGGCTCGTTTTCAATCGAACCACCCACCTAGTGAAGAGGGTGGGCGGCACTCGTTGACGACAGGCTCCGGGTTTTCCTTATCTTTCTACCCAGGGCGATGCAGACAATGTGGCAGATAGGACGGATCGGGGGGGGGAGGGGCCTTGGCGAACAGCCATTGTCTAAACAGACCAGGCGCAGGACCTCGCAATGTCTTTGACAGCTGACGTGGGACAAGCTGATATCAGAAGTTGCAGGACGGGTTCAACCCGTGAAGCATGAGCAAAAATACGGGATAGACAGGGAACGAAGCATCCGTGTCGTGGTTACCGCTGAACGTCCACCGATGGGCGAGGTCATCGTGGGCAGGATCCACGGCGTAACTAGTGCGCAAAGTGTACCGTGTCATGTCGATGACCAAAGGGGGAATGAGGTAATGAAAGTACGACTTGCATCGTGAACCAAGCCATGACGTGCCTGGGTTTCGAGGCCACATTGGTAATTTGTAGTTACGGTTTTCCTTATCTTTGTCATGTATGTTCCATGTCGTATGTACAGTGGGTGGCATCAAGTTAGTGATTACCAAGTGGCGCGCTGAAGGGACCCGCAGCCCGACGCCAAGGTACTTGGGGTCATGGTGGTCCACAGGTGTGGTCCCGAGGTACCTCTCGGCCGTCAATGAGCAAGGGAGGCGCAATTTTGAGGGGTTTTTCTCAGCGATAGGACGGCGTGTAAAATCTACGTACCTAGGCTTGCAGGCTTGCAGGCTTGCAGGCTTGCAGGCTTGCAGGCTTGCAGGGCAGTCAGTGCCTGGCGGCTGGCGGGGGACCTTATTTGCTGGGGGAAACTCTGAAACGGAGGGCTGCACGTCGGCCAAATGGCTGCGGGACCCGCCCACCGTAACCTACGGTGACCCCCGCTCTCTGCCCTTGGAACCAATCACCGCTTGCTGCTCGACGCCACCGTCATGGTTTGCGACATGGGTCCGCCGCCAAGATGCTTTTCCTGCCCACGTAAGGTTGGCAAGCAGCCCGTGTCTCTCCGGAAATGGGTTGTATCAGGCAGAAAGGAAAGGATAAAATTTATTCATTTTTTTAATACAGCTGCGGGGCCGCCTTTTTTCCTAATCGCGTTCCAACTCACGATCCGCAAAGTATCTTTTTGCCTGGACGCTTGAACGCATTCCAAACGCCATCGTCTCTTATAAAGTCTGGCCCCTCCCCGCCTCCTTCGTCAATTCCTCTATTCCAAGACTCATTCCTGATCAGCCCCTTTTTTACCTCTACTACAGACCGTGAAGAAACATTTTCTTCTTCTCCAGTATCCTCTTCTGTTGCATTCCTTGATTGGCTTTGCTTCGACTTCCTCCACACCTCCACGACATCTATAAAGCTCGATACCCGCTCTTTCTCCTTGTCGTCTTCCGACTTGCTGGACATCTTCCATCCTCCATCCTCCATCCTCCATCCTACAAACCAAAACTTCAATCACTCAATTTCCATCATGGCTCCCAAGGCTGTTCATTTCGGTGCTGGCAATATTGGTACGTTTCCCATCTCCCATCTGCAACAATCGGCTTGCTACACGACCCCCAACTTGGTGTGGCGCCACTCCGGCTTCCGCCGATTGCGTAGCGCTGCCCCGCTGCACGTCATCGCTGCCACCCACCCACCCAACTCACGACATGACCATGCTAACACTTTTCATCAAGGCCGCGGCTTTGTTGCCTGCTTTCTGCACAACTCTGGCTACGACGTCGTCTTTGCCGACGTCGCCGATGCCCTGATTGACTCCATCAACGCCTCCCCCTCGTACCGCGTCATCGAGGTCGGCGTCGAGGGCACCACCGAGTCCACCATCACAAACTACCGCGCCATCAACTCCAAGACGCACGAGGCCGATCTCATTGACGAGATTAGCACCGCCGACGTCGTCACCTGCTCCGTCGGCCCCCGCGTTCTCAAGTTTATCGCCCCCGTCATCGCCAGGGGCATTGACCGCCGCGCCGCCGACCGCAAGCCCCTGGCCGTCATTGCCTGCGAAAACGCCATTGGCGCCACCGACACACTCGCCGAGTTCATCAGGAGCCCCGAAAACACCCCCGCGGATCGCCTCGAGGACCACTCGTCCCGCGCCCGCTATGCCAACTCGGCCATTGACCGCATTGTGCCCGCGCAGGATGCCGATGCCGGGCTCGATGTGACGCTCGAAAAGTTCTTTGAGTGGGTCGTCGAGAAGACGCCGTTTGCCGACGTTGGCATCCCCCCGATTGAGGGCATCAACTGGGTCGAGAACCTGGCCCCATTCATTGAGCGCAAGCTCTTCACTGTCAACACGAGTCACGCCACGGCCGCGTACCACGGCTACAACCGCAGAAAGCGCACCGTCTACGATGCGCTGCAGGACAAGGCCATCATGGCCGAGGTCCGCGGCGCGCTCGCTGAGACAAAGGGCCTCATTGTGAGCAAGCACGGCATCGACGAGGCAGCCCAGGCTGCGTACGTCGATAAGATTATCAAGCGCATCGGTAACCCCCACCTCGAGGACGCTGTGGAGCGCGTCGGCCGCGCGCCTCTCCGCAAGCTCTCCCGCAAGGAGCGCTTCGTCGGGCCGGCTGCTGAGATTGCCGAAAACGGCGGCGAGATCAAGTACCTTCTCGATGCTATCGAGATGGCGTTCCGCTTCCAAAACGTCGAGGACGACGAAGAGTCCAAGGAGTTGGCCACCATTATGTCGGAGAGCACCCCCGAGGACGTTGTCGCCAAGGTCTGCGGCGTGCAGACCTCGGAAAAGATTTACCCCCAGCTCGTCGAGGTGGTCAAGCGTGTCCAGGCTGATAGCAGCGAGTGACTACATGGCTCCCGGTCCAAGCTGTGAGGTGTTTTGTTTTCTAAATTTCGTGATGGATACCCAGTGGCGTTTTTGAGTTTACCAGGCATGGCAACATGGAGTTTTGAATTATAGAACAGATATGATGACAAAAAAAATGTTCTTCTGTAACCGGTTTAATTGTAGAGCATGTGACTGTGATGATGACAAAGAACGTTCTTCTATGACTGTTTTGATTGTAGAGCATGTAGTTGTGAGCAAGATAAACCCTGTTTTTCTTTTCAACTGTAGAGCAAATCATTGTGACTGTTCTTCTTTTCAATTGTAGAGCATATGGTTGCAGGACTGAGACTCCATACTGTCCTTTACAATTAACATTACAAGAGTGGCGATGTCATCCTTTTCCTTGCCTTCCTCGGCCATCCGCTCACAGACCCTTGAGCTGCTCGCGCGCGCCAACCCTCTCAATCCAGGCCGTCAAGTTGGTCAAGCCCTCCATATCCACCTTGAGCATCTTGATGTACGTCATAAACGCCCAAATATGCGTATCAGCCAGCGAGTACGTCTCGCCGAGCAGATACGGCCTGTCCTGCAGCCCGCCATCCAGCACCCCAAGCAGCTTCCGCAGCTCCTCCCTCGCGACCTCGGCGTCCTTTTCGCGCAGCGCGCGCACGCCCTCGTCCTGCTCCTCCTGCTGACAGTGCACCACGCGGCTCACCTGGCGCGCCTGCAGCGGGAGGTTGACGTTGGACCAGACGATCCACTTGACGGCGTGCGCGCGCGCAGCACCCGCCGATGCCGGGTACAGCCCGGCGTCGACGCCGTACGCCTCCCCCAGGTACATGGTGATGGCGGCCGATTCCCACAGCGGCTGCGCCGGGTCGTCGGGGAGCACGAGCGCCGGCACGAAGCCGTTGGGGTTGACGGCCAGGAACTCGGGCGCCCGCGTGCCGCTGCGCAGCGCAACGTCGATGCGCGTCGCCAGAGGCCGCCCGACGGCCGCTTCGAGCTCCTGCAGCACGGCGTCGGTGATGCCGGCCGTGGAGTAGTCGGCGCGGTAAAACTTGATGAGAGACATTGGTTTTTGATGAGGGATGATGTGTGTGGGGGTTTTGGGGTTGATTTCTTCGAGGGATAAAAGAGTTGAACAAGAGAGAGGCTCGACGTCATCTTCGGGGAACTGCCCGTTTTTATGTATCCAAAAGGGAAGCAGCCGATGTTAGCATTTGTTGGGTTGGTGGAGAACGCCGTGGCGCCAACGTTCACGACGGGTTCACGCTATGCAGGTAGAATCTGGCTGCGGTCGTGTTCATGATACTTTTCGGGGGCGCTGGAGCTGAAAACGCCGTCAAAATCATTGAGTGAGTTTTTGTGGCGTGAAGAGCTGAACGGCGCGGGCACGCACTTACACGGGCCTCACCACTTCTACGAGCCACCCTTTTCACATGACTGTGATTTATTACACGCAAGCAAGCAAAATGTATCGAGTCCAACAATTTCTCGTTTTGATAGCTACTATTACTCCAGTTTCTTCATTTTGATTACTGCCCGTCCGCCGGCGGGTTCCACTCGGGCTCGTAGTTCGGGCACGTCGGCTGCACCTTCATGCCCGCCGCCAGCGCGTTGAGCTCCGAAAAGCTGCCCAGTGGGCCCGTCTGCTCAGCATTCTTGTCCACGGGGCCGTACAGGAACCACGCGCTCATCGGCTGCGCGCGCGTGTATCCGCCGGGCGCGCCGCCGGCCGTGCGGTTCACGCCCATGTTGCCCGCTACCAGATACGCGTCGCTGTTGGTACCGGGTTCGGGAAAGTCGAGCATCTTGAGCGGCACCCTGGCGTAGCCGACGGGCAGCTTGTCCATGGGATGCGGGTGGTACGCGATGCCGTCGAGAACGACCAGGCCCTTGGTGTTGGGGCGCGGCTGGGGCGCGCGCAGGTCGCCGTGCGCGTCCCAGTGCAGCAGGCCCATGAGCCAGCCCGTCACGCTGAATTCCATCGGGCCCCTGCCGCAGGTCATGAAGTGCTCGGCGCGGACAATCTGGCTCCAGAATTGCTTCACCTCCTCGCTGTCGGGCTCGTCAAAGGTGCGGACGAAGCGGCTGAAGATGGGCCGCAGATTGTCCGCGTACTCGGCCGGCTCCTGTCCGAAATCCTTCAAATGGGCCAGCTTCTCCTGCAGCCGGAACCAGTCGGCGCGGCTGCCGAGGAGCGTGACGCGCGGCAGTCCGCAGATGATGCCGCCGGCAAAGGAAAAGTACTGCTTGAAGAGGCCCATCATGCAAACCGTGGCCGTCATGCGGTCGTCCTCGTTGCTCGTGCTGAAGCCGGGCATGATCCATGCCTCGAGCCAGTCCGTCTTGACACGCTTCTGGATCTCGGCCGCAAAGCTCGAAATCACGGAGCGCCAGGTGTACGCCTTGACCACAATATCCTGGTGCCCATCAAAGTCGACAAACAAGTGCCGCACCTCCTCGGCGTGCTTCGCCATGTAGCAGTTGAGCTGCGCCAGGACCTCGAACCAGACCTCGTCGGGCCGCAGGACTAGGTGCTGGTGCTGGGCCCAGGCCTCGAGCGCGCCGCGCACTAGGCTGTCCGAGGATGGGTACACGGTGTTGGGCGTAAACACGTGCGCGTCGGCCGCGCCCAAGTCCGGGTTGTACTTGGAGAGCAGCAGCGAGGCATTGTAGGGTGTCCGGGGCGTGTGCTCCTCGGGGCAGCTCTGCGCCCAGAGGTCCGCAGCGGAGAGCACGGCGGAATGGGTCTGGAGCGGCAGAGGCGGCACGTCGGTGGCGACGTTGATGGTAACATCGGCGCCGGCAAGGGCCGCGAGGGCCACGGCGCCGAGAAGAGCTGTTCGGAGCATAGTGGATGTTGTCGAGCAGGGTTACTAAGTCTGGAGGGAGGCTCGGTTGCGGTTAGAGAAAAGGATCGAGGAAGGAGACATCGGGGAGAAGCGGCCTAGATATAGAAAATCGGATAGTGTTGTCTGGCCGGCGCGTTGTAAGACGTTTTGCGGGGTGGCGTGAGACAGGGCATCTGGTCTCTCCTTCGAGTTGCCGCATTTTTTAACGAGCATCGCCACCCCTCTATTGGCAAGGCGCAGGAACTTTTGCTTTCCAGCCGTGAAAATTCTGCTAGTACATGCGAGACTGATCCTATTCGGACCTTGCCATCAGGCTAGAACTGTGTCATGGTGATGCGACGACGCGGGCTGGTGTCGCTTCGCCACGGCTTGTTTGTCCTGCCAAGCAAACAAAATTTGCGAAAACTTTTGTTCCGAAGCAATAAATGTGGAAAAAGGGCACGTATAGCAGGATTCTGGTATCAATATCTCGCCAGCCATGCATTCCGAGTTGTTTAGACTCCGGCGCGGATCGGCTCCCGTATTCGGGGCTGCACGGTTCTGCAAGCCACACGCCAGCGACGGGCCGACATGGTTAGAAGCGGACATGGTGGCGAACCGCACAGGTTCATGAGGGGGGAAGCGAGAGAGAGCGTTGTGAGAGAGAGGGGGGCATGGAGAGGTTTAAGAGGGACGTTGAATCAACCAATTGATCGAAAACAGCAGGTGCAAGAAGAAAGCCAGATCGTAGATGCAAGGGCCGAGTTTGGGAGCCGTTTGCGTGCCAAACGGACATAAAAGTCCGGCGCTAGTAAATCAGTCGCTGGGTCAAAAAAAAAAGACAATATACTTTAAATAACTCGATAAAAATACAGTAATTTTGGAAAAGCGACATCAAGTGTGCATGCCAGACTACAGCGATATCGACAATGCGCGGATTTCCCTGCTCAGGCAATCCGACGCCCTGTATAGAAAAATGCGCCGTGCTCCGAGTTGAGCGTATGCATTACCCCAAGGACCTCTCTATCCAGCATAAGACAACGACAAAATGACGTTCTTCGCCGTCTTGTCATCCCCGCCACCGTCCTACATGGCCGCCGCCGCCGCCGCCTTCATCAGTCGACATGTGCGGCCATAGCCGAGCAATACCATGTGTATCCCGTCAAGTACTCTTCCATATTCTGGTGTCCCCCCATCTGAAGCAGTCGTGACTGTGCTTTTCGGAGTTGCCTCCGTTTCCAGAACCTTTTCGACCGCCAAGGCTGCACTGGGGTCGCCGTGAGCATGCCATCCGTGATGTCCGTCTCAGATCCCCTCGCCCCGGCCGCATCCTGCACAAGGCCATCGAACCGTTACTCAGAAATGAATTCGTTAAGCCTTGCAAAAAGAATAGACAGAAGCAAAAGCTTGCACACAAGCACCATGGCTCAATGGATGGACCTACCATACGAGATTCGGGAGCTGATTCTTGACAACCTTTTCCACCTATCAAATCCGACAAGCAGCAACAGGAGCGGCCCGGTTGGCAGGTCATTGCAGAGAAAGACACCGGCTTATTCAATATCTTGCAACTTGCAAAACTTGGAAGCAAATCGTGGAGCCACGTGAAGACGAGTCTTGCTGCGAGCAAACGAATTCGAAGCTTTTTCACACAGGGCGGCCATCTCTAAGCTGGGACTTGTCGGGCACGTAATTCATCCGGTATCGTTGGAGAATATATGCTGCGAAAGCAGTCGTTATTGGTTCAAGTAGGGAAAACCTATGACTTCTTTTCCGTCCTCGGGCCTAGTGACTCGACTGGGAAATCACGGCCAATTTAGCTTCTTTATTATAATAATCTTCCTTATTAAATTGTATTCCTTATTTTAATGACCTTCCTTATGCTCATAAGTTCCACTTATTCTTCTTTTTGTTTCTACGCTTTCCTTCAGTAAGGTGCCTTGCTAGGCATGTTGTTTGTAATAGTGTCTGGGTAGTACTTGAGATCAAAATGTCATACGTACGCCAATGCAGAGCCTCTCACTGGAACACCACCGGGGGCAGGAATTAAGAAAAAAATAACCGAAGGTGCCATTTTTGACCATATTTTTGACAGAATTTGGACCCATTTCGTTGACAGCATCGGACGAGCCTGGATTACAGTGTGCTCTTGACGTCAGCAACAGCACCCTTAACCGCCCCACGAGTCGAGCGTGACACGTCTTGCACCCCAGCTCCCCTGCTCAGTTGCTCACCGACCAGCAAACATTCCCTCATACATGCCTCTCCGACCGCCTCGCTGAGGACGACTGACTTTTCGCGCCCATGGCCGCCGTTCAGAACAGTCGCGCGCGTTCTGCACGCGTGGGCGCACCCGCCGTGCCACCAGCACCCGCCTCACGACGACCGCTCTCCATACACGGCCGGCCACCCGCAGCCGCCTCAACGACGCCGTCAGCCGCCCCGAACCAGTCCATCCCCACGTTTCTGACGAACCTACGACTGCTGGACCTCGATCTGCGCGAGGACTGGCCCGACGTGACGCCCGCCACGTTTGCCGGCACCACGCAGAACCACAAACGAAGGGTGCAGGCGGTCGAGTGGGCTCTCTATCGGCTCTTTGAGATTTGGGATCCAGAGGACACAGCGTCGGTATGTCGGCACCCGGGCGAGATGACCAAACTACCCGTACTGACTGGGTAGAAACTCAAACCGTACTTCCCGGCCGTCGATCAGCTACAGTCTGTCAGCCTGCGCGCGGCGCTCCTCCGCGGCCTCGAAAACGCAAAGAAGAGTGGTGCTCTGGGCCGTGATGCCCTGATCCGCAAGACGATGCTCGACGACTGCAAGGGCGAGCGCCTGGAGGAAGTGCTGGCCGCCTTCTCCTCGGCGGTGCTGCGGAGCACGGTGGCGGACCGGCGCGGGACGCGCCCCTTGGCCGTCGACGTCGCGCTCGAGGATAGAGGCTACCAGGGCGACGGCCACCTGCTGCGACCGCTCATCATCGCCCACCGCGTATCGCTGAAGCACGCGCTGGACAGGCGCCGCCAGGCGGGCGCCGCGTTCAGCGACTTTGGGGAACTGCTTGCTATGAAGGAGCGCGGCATCACCCGCCGCAACGAGATGCTTCGCGCCAACGAGACGGCCGCAACGCACGCCGCCGCCCTCGCAGAGGACACACGCCGCCGCGTGCGACAGACAGTGAAAAACAACTGGTCCGGCCACGAGGCCTGGATGGACACGCTGCTCGCGGGCGACGCGGCGGGCCGCCGCGCCACGGGCCTGCTCGGCACCCCGTACGACCGCGTGTGGCGACGCGTGCAGCAGGGCCGCCTGGCGGAGCTCGAAGACGATGACCGCGGGATGCTGCTCCAGCAGCTCGACGGCCGTGTCGAGGCCCAGCGGCTGCGGCTGGCCCGCTGGGACGAGCTGCGCCGGGACATGGCGGGTGGCGGCCGCGGGAACAAGCGGCCCGCGTCGCCCCTGAAGAAGCGGGCGGCACCAAAGAAACCCCCCAAAGGCATCGACTTGCAGTTCAACGCGCACGCCGACCTGCATGTGCGCGCCATGCTCGGCATGCGACCGCCTACCCACGAGGAAACACTTCACGGAGACTACGCGACCATGATGGACGAGCTTGACCTGGAGCTTACGGAGCTGAAGACGACTAGTTTTGAAAACGCGGTGCAGAGGCTGCATACGATGCGCGCCCAGTACGGCAACACGGACACGTCGGTGCGCCTCGCCAGCGACCCCATCTCCGAGCTCAGCGACCTCGGCGACATGGACGAGGACGAGGACGACATCCACCCGGCGCCCTACGTGCCCCCCTCCCGCCACACCATCCACCGCGGCACGGCGAGCCGCCTGCCGTCACGACCCGCCAGCATGTACGCTCCCGACCCGTCCGTCCCGGTCCGGCACCGCCCCGCCGCCAGCGAGCGCTCCTACAGCACGCCCTACTCGGAAGACGGCTACTCGTCCGCCTCGACGTCGCGGCAGCCGTCGTCGTCGCACATCGGCGGCACCCTGCGGCAGCAGTTCACCGACGGCGGCGAGAGCGCCTCGTCGCCGCCCACGAGCGGCAGCCTCGCCGAGCACGCGACCGCGCGCAGCATCTCGCCGTCGCCGTCCAAATCCTCCTCCACCAAGGCCCCGCGGCACACGCTCTCGCTCGCAGAGCGCACCCGCATGTCCATGGCGCGCCGCTCCATGCAGTTTTTCGACGACGAGGCCCCCGAGCTGCGGGGCGCGGCGCCGGCGCCGGCGCCGCGAGCAGACGACGATGATGACGACGACGACGACATGATTGCGGATCTGGCGAGCAGGACCCGCATGAGCATGGCGGGGTTCGAAAAGGCCCAGCAAAGAGCCAGGACCGACCGCCAGCGCGAGATGCGCAGGGAGCTCAAGAGGGCGAGGGCGCTGCCGCCGAGGCGGGAGGGCAGCCAGTGGGCGGATTGATGCGCGGAGGTTGTGGCAAAGAGGAATGGTGATGAGCGAATGTGTGGCATCTGGAACCAGGGCACGTTGCTACGAGGGATCCGGCTATGAGAAACTGCTTGGGAGACTAGCAGGCTGTAAAGATACCAATAGAATGATGACATGTCTTGTAATCCGCAGACTGTGACCCGGGATCCTGTACTATACTGCTTGTTCTATAGCGTACGAGTTTCGTCATGTAGCAGTACTTGCTCCCGTCAACGCCTCACCTACCAAGAGTGTGCCATCAGGTAACTCGACAACGTCCTGGGATAGCTGCCGGCGTTCGCTGCTTCGCCAATCGATCCAACATGCACGCGCACAAGTACATATCAGTGGCAGAGGTAGCATATTGATTGACTTATACTCTAATTCTAACGGATCAGGATATTCTCTTGCAGCGTTTTGACCACCTTCCGTGCTTCAGTGGATGGATCTATGAATGAACTTCTAAAACCACCGTCGTTCAACCTTGAGACTGAAAAGCTTCTACCACCACTTGGCAGTGGTTCCCCGGATCACATTGGAACCACAGTGAACCTCGCCGCTCTCCACATGGTGCGTAAAGAAGTCATCCATGTAGTGGACCGTAAAGTTGGCCTTGGCGTACGCGGCATTGACAGCCGACGCCAGAATATCTTTTCCGTCCACGACCGGGCCCCAGGGGTTGGGAGCCGCGTACTGCGTGTTGGACAAGACGACGCCGTTGATGCAGCCCGGGTACAACGCCGCTACCTGCCAGGTGTCGTCCGCCTGGCGCCGCGCCAGGCCATCCGGGCCTTTGCCACCACCACCCGCTTCAAGGACATTGACATAGGGTCTCTGACGGTATCCCTGGGCGTATATGCCCTCATTTGCCGCCCCGGCGGCCGGAACGGCCTAGGCTTTGCTGTCACGGCAAGCGGTCGGGTTTTCGGACGTGTAGAAGAGTGCGGGCACGCGGATAATCTCGCTGTCCGTCAGACCCGTCTCGTTCTTGAGAATGTCAATGTTGGCTTTGATATTCTTATCACAGTACTTTTGAACTTCTGTAAAGTTGGCCAGGTTCAAGAAGTCGTCGATGGAATTCGTGGGTACACAGTAGCTCCCGTCACTCGGCATCTTGGGACGGGAAATGGCGCGGACCTTGCCATGACCCTGTTTCTGCGCCTGTTGCAGAATCTCAAGACCTGCGAGCGGGTCGTCAACCATCATGACCCAGCCGCGCTTGTTGTTAGCCGGAAGAAACTGCATAAACTCGTCCGTGTGTCCGACCATGAGCCAGGTGGTGTCAATCCCAACGGGTGCCTGCACCTCTTGCGCCTTGAGGAACTTGACCATTTCAGGCTTCTTGCCAAAGTGAGAGCCCATTATAGCACGCCCAGCCGGGTACGACTTGCCGTTCAAGGTATAGGGCGGCACTGTTTCGAGGTTGCCAGTCGAGTCCGTGGTGGTGCCATAGGTGCGGTGCTGGACGGCGCCGACCGTGTCGGAGCGCATCTCGCGGAACAGCCAGCGGTGGGAAACGATTCTCCTGCTCTCGTTTTGCGCCGAGGCAATCATGATGCGGAGCACAACCGGACCCTCTGGACCAGGAATCGTCGTGTAGCCGGGTTCGAAGAAGTCCTGCGTCCAGTGGTCGGAGGAATTGACCGTCACAAAGGGCTGCTTGACGCCCGCCTGTAGGGATAGCTTAGTGAGGTCTTGGACAAATTTTTCCTGCAGTTTGTCAGGAGACAACCGCGAGCTTTGGTACATGGATACAAGTACTTGTTCGGCAGGCTGAACATGGTGGTGTGTCAGGACGGGAGCAACACGCAGGGCGACGCTGTCTGTGGCTTCGGCGCCTTTGTCCTTGACTGAGAACTGCAGTGTGGCTTTGCCATCCCACGCGGTGGTGCGGACCTCGCGAGCGTCGACGCCAAGATCAAGTCCCTTGCGCAGCTGGCCTGCGGTAAAGGTGTAGTTAGATGCCACGTACGCCCAGTCTGCACCGTCTTTGAGGAAGACGCGCACCTTGGAGGCAGCAACCTTGTCGACCACAATGGACCCCGTGGCCGTGTCACTAAGCTCGGGGCTCGGCAGAGTCAAAACAGGCGCCAAGTATTTGGGGTTGCGCTGAACATCTCCACTGGCATCGTTGCACAAGTTGTAGTCGGGATTGGTCTTGTCGTTCTCGTCGGTGGTGATGAGCGACGAGCAGCGCCGGTTCGAGTCACCAATATTGGCGAGGAAGAGGGCCCCAGAGCTCTCAGTCCAGGTATTTTTTCCAGTATAGTCACTCTTTCCAGTAGTGTCTATCTTGCCATCGCGGTTAGTGTCGGCAAGAATCGTCACTTCCAAGGCCTGGCTTGCACCGAGGAGGCCTACATGCCAGGGTTAGCACTTGTGCCAAGTCTGAGGTCGCTCCAAGTCTGTGACTATACCCAACGCAAAAGTAAATACTGTCCCAAGAGACCGCATACTGAACCGGAATACTCTGCGGGAAGAAAACCTGCAAGAAAATGGTATAGTTTCAGGCAGTGCCGTCAGTTGCTTCCGGCCAGGCAAATCGCAAGACGATGTTCATCGGTCGGCTCTGGATGGCAGGAAAAATGCTGCTTACAAGTTTGTTTTAAAAGATACCGGTCAGACCTCGAAAATACATTTCGGTTTTGATTATTGTCGAGATGCTTGCTCCATTGCAGCAGGGATTGTAGTTGTGCCACGGGTCTTGCACCGCCGACAGCCGTGATTCCCCTTGATGTTGGCCGACCTGGGCCATCTCTGGCCGGTTTCCATACCTGCCATTTTGGCCTCAAACTTAAGCTGAATTATCCTTTTAGGCAGGTACTGTGCTCGGTGACTTCGGGGGCAACAAAGGTGCAGATCCAGCCCAAGTTGGGAAGTGGTGAAGCGGGGAATCGGCGAATTGCTTCATAGGGCCAATCAGTACGGAGTACTCGGTTGACATAGCCCTACTGCATCTCGGCGAATGTTTGACAGACGGTGAGCGGTATGAGCCATTATTGATATAGTATCATTCAAGGTGGATATCGAGATTGGGGCGCAGAAAGGGGGCGGCGCAATGACATGACCTTTTTGGCATGTTGTTGTTGGAGATGCCGAGGTGTGCTGTCAAGGGAACGCGGCAGCTGCTGCATCTGAATATTGGGCCTGACTCATTAATAAGAATAGTTAGTAACTAGAGGAAGGTTCAATTTGTAGAAAGTGGCAGGTACGAGGTTATCCCACACTTGACGATTTGATCAGAAAGATATGAGTATGTGCAATCGACCTACTTGCACGAATGACTTCCCCTGGTATTAAACATGTAACAATGCCCATTCGCCGGGGGGTATTCTTGCAATCAACGTTATGGCCTTTTCGAACGAAGAGACTATGTCCTCGTTAGCTCATGCCGATCAGCAAACCGGGCGAGGCGCACGTTTTGCCCCAGTACTGGCGCAAATGAAGCGTCATGGTCGTGGTGACTTGCATTGCTTTGTGTCTTGTTCCTTTTAGATAAATATTACTACCTTCCTGCCTTGGCGCTACGTAGGAGACAGTAAGAGTAATTTCCTGGGCGTGAGGCAGTGTTTGGCCGGGGCGACGACGGCAGCTACTTTTCGATGTTGGTTATGCGGCAAGATGTGGGCATGTTTGCGTCTGAGCGAGCTGCAAGGTCGCCATGATCACAAGACGGGGCTTGTATTCGGCACGGACAAGACATGATGATGAACAACTATACATGCGGTCAGTCTTACTACACTTACTTAAACTCTGCTGAAGGCAGTCCTTCTGCCCGATTTTCAGCACCGGCTTCTTCAGCTTGGTCGAGAGCGCACAGTATGTCAGTATTAGAAGGTATAGTCAAACGGAGAATTGTTCATCTAGACCACAATGATAGAACGGATGAAATGAAAGATCATGACCGCAAGGTCTTTTCTTTAAAGGTATTGTATTTGTTATGCAGTATATCATACAAGATTGGGCGATTCCACAATCGTTCATCTTAGTGTTACATCCTGTCTCCCCGAACGCCTACCAACCCTGCTTGCGCAGCTCGTGAACACGGGCATACGCTGCACAGAAGCCGCCCTTGAAACGGGCCCGCCAGCGCTCGCTCGCGAGACGTTTGCGCTTCAGACCTGGACGCTCGTGCGCCTTTTGCGAGTGGTACTTGTTCTTGATGTGCTGCGTAGTGACCAGGCGGCCGAGCATCGCCAGCGCGCTGCGGACCGTGGGTGCCGAGTTGGGCCCCGGCTGCGCGGCGCGCACAAAGATGGTGCGGCCCGTCGTTGCCGCGGCGCGCACTCGTGGCCGCGTCAGGGGATCCTCCTGCTGCAGCGAGCGGCCGTACTCGGCGGCCTTGGTCGACAGGATCGACGTCACGTCGAGCTCAAACGGCAAGGCTTTGCTTGTCGCTGAGTATGTGCTGGTGGAGGAGGGAGACGGTTTAGCGGCCAAGGGGGCCGACTTGGGAGGAGGCGGCGGCGGCGGCGTGAGGGTAGACTGGGCGTTGGGTTTGGTGGCCGTCGCGGTGGCAGGTTCTTGTGGTTTAGGCTGGATACCGCCGATGAGAGGGTTCGCGCGCGGTGCGGGCTTGGGCGCACGGCGATCGGCGAGGTTCATGACGGTCGTGGTGAAGCATCGCGTGGACGATGGTGCCTGCATGGACATTCTGCACAGCATCGTGCTGCTGTGGCGAATTGAGGCAGCCCTAGGCAAGTTGTTAGTACCGCAACGATGACAGTGGTGCAATTGATCGAATCAAGGGGATTGGCACACATTTTAAGTTGCTTTGAGCAGCAATGCTCTGTCAATAGATGGAAGCTGGCTGAACAGTAGCCATGTAGGAGTCAATACTCGATAACCGGCGAAAACTAGTTTGGCCTGTCAAGCGGAAAATGTATTGATGCGGCGCTGTCAAAGCTTCGCTGAACATTGTGGGACCAATCAACGGCGCGCCGCAAACTTGGAGCTCCATCTCATCAATAACCACTACTGCATCCCGCCAGACAACTTTTTGTTGCAGCCGAAAATCTTTCCCATCTCCCTCTTATTTGTGCAATACATAATAACAATTGGAGGAAGAAATTCGGGACTCTTTTGCGTTACGAGGCGCGCTCAGCATCACGCGACATGTCGTACAACCAATATGGAGGCAAGTTGCCGACTTGATTGATGTGAGTGTCCAGCTAACAACTTGCAGGTAATCCATACGGCGCGCCACCTGGGTATGGAGGCTACGGCAATCCTCCGCCCGGAATGGGGGCTCCTCCAGGATTAGGTGAGTGACGATGCTATCTATACTCGATTTGATACTGACCTCTTGCAGCCGCTCCTCCCCCAGGCGTCCCGGCCCGTCCAGGGCCACCAGGCATGCAGCAAGCGAATGTACCACCGGCAGGTCGTGGTGCGCCGGCCTCCTTTCAGCCTCCGAACCTACCCAACATCAACTTCAGCGCCCCCGTGATTCGGCTCGGCACGACAGGTCCGTCGGGCGGCAACGAGCGAGGCGATGGTCCCAGACCGGGCGGCCGCCCGGGACTGGGCATGGACAGAGGACTAGACCAAGGACGGTCGTCGAACCGCGAAGCGACGCAGATCTTGATCCCTTATACGGCCGAGGAAAAGCTGCGCACCATGTTCATACACGAGATCCCAGACGGCGTGAGCGGCGATGGGATTCAAAAAGTCCTCAGCTCTGTGGGACGGCTCAGGAGGTGGGAGGCGCTGGATAGCGTCATGGATGATCATAAAGGCGCCAAATTTGGCTTTGCCCTGTTCGAGGATGTCGGGTCGTTGCACAACGCCGCACGCCTACTAGTTGAGGAGGAGGTGCAAGTGCCCAAGGCCAAGCAGCCCATCGCAACAGAACAGCCCAAGGACGACACATTCGAAGGCGTTGAGACAGTCAAGCTACACACATCTCTGGACGCTAGCACGGTCAATTACTTGGAAGCATTTCGCAAGGACGAGGAAGAAGCCGATGCTGGCGAGGCGCATGCCCGTGCGCAGCTCAGGCAGGCTCTACGAGATTTATTCTACCCATTATCAGCCTCAACATCTGGGCATGTGGATACCGCCATGGACTATGAAAGAACCGGTGAGGCAATAGAGATTGTCAACATTGGCATGGGGCAGGAGGACGAGCTATCCGACATCCCTTCCGAGATTCGCGAAGTTGTTCTGAAAGAGATTGCGGCTTTCCGCGAGCGCAGCAATCAGCACGACTTGGAGCGTCTACGCGGCGAGGAAGAGTTTGAAGAGCAAGAGCGACGACGCAACGGAGCCTCGCGACCCGTAGCGACGCACGACGGCTCCAACGGTACGCCCCTCGGCCCTCGCGGCGCGCCATCCGGCCCCCGCGCCCACAACGGAAATGGCAACTCCTCCTTTGTCAACGGCGGCGTGGAGAATGGCAGCGGCCCCAGCTACCGCGACGACGACACGGATGCCAGTGATGAGGAGCTCCAGCGGCGGCACCTGCGGGAGGAGCAAGCCGAGGCGGACAAGTCATACGAGGACGCGGAACGGCGGTGGGCGAACCGGGAGCGGGCCCGACAGGCGGCGCTGGACCGGGAGCAGAACCGCGAAAAGAATGGCGCCGAGGCGCAGCAGCAGCGCGCGCAGGCACGCCTGGCGCAAGACAAGGAATGGGACGACGAGCGCGAGGCCGGGCGCAAGTCCCACCCGTACTACCGCGACCGCGCCGCGTGGGCGCGCAAGCGCGGCATGGACCGCGCGGACGAAGAGGCCCGAGACGAGGCGGACCGCCGGCAGGAGCGTGACGAGCAGCGCCGCACGCAGGCGCAGCTCGAGCGTGCCCGCGGCATGGCCGATTCCTTTCTGGACAAGCAGGCCGAAGAGTCGGACCGCGCCGCGACCGAAGCCGCCTCTGCTGCTGCTGCTGCTGCTGCTAGCGCTGCTGCTGCCGAAACGACGGCTGCAGCACCCCAGCCGTTCAAGCTCTCCCTCGGCGCGGCCGCGCAGAAAGCGCACGCTTCCCGCACGGCGGCGACGCAGCGGCGACGCACCGTCGCCGAGGTCGAAGGCCTGCTCGACGACGAGGAGGAGCAGGCCCAGGGCACGCGGCGCCGGCAGCTTATCCCCATGGAGCCGGTGGACACGCGTGGCAGCGGCACCGGCGCCGACGGCGGCATGACGGAGGAGGAGGTGTCGCGGGCGGTGCGCGCGCTGGCGCAGGAGATCCCGTCCGACAGGGACGGCCTGTGGGCGTGGCCCGTCCAGTGGGACTACATGGACGACGGCGTCATGGCCGGTCGTCTCCGGCCGTTTGTCGAGCGCAAGATTGTCGAGTACCTCGGCGTCCAGGAGGAGATGCTCGTCGAGGCGGTCGAGGAGCACTTGCGGAAGCACGGGACGGCGGCGGCGCTTGTGGAGGAGCTGGAAGGGGTACGTTTTTTTCCCCTTTTTCTCCCTTGTTCGATGCCTCTGTTTTTGTCTCTTTGTCGCATTTTTTCCCCTTGTTGTCTTTTTCACATGCCTGGCGGGGCCCGAGTTTGGTTTCGTGGTCCCCGTTTCTGTCGTTACCTTGTCGATGAATTTTTGCTGACCAAACGTTTTTTGCACAGGCACTGGACGACGAGGCCGAGGACCTGGTCAAGAAATTGTGGCGCATGGTCATCTTTTTTACGGAATCGGAGAAGAGGGGTCTCCCAGCGTAAGCAGCGGGTGGGGGTGGGAATGTCGAGGAGAGAGAAATAAGCACTGTCTTTTTTTTTTGGAGTCTGGCATATCGGTTGGTGGAAATGTTTCGTTCCACTGGTTTTCCTTTTTTGAGAGTATTTTAAAAAATAAATAATGGCGAATGGGACAATTTTACGGGTACTTGTTATGCATCTTGAATGGTGGTGGTCTTGCGGATTCTTAGAGTAAGCTGGACAAGGTGTCTAGTACACAAACTTGGACGTTGGAAGTTGTCACAGCGGGCCGTTTTGTAGTAGGCGCAGTCATCATGGTCATTTTCACGTGTTTTTTTATCCATTCTCCCTGACCACACACTCATCATTGATACGCAACGTCGTCATCTTCACCTGCTCTCGAGCGGCGCAGCGGCCGCACGCGGCTCCCATCCCGGCTGGGCCATTTCGAAGCCGGCAAACTCAAAGCCGGGGGCGACGGAGCAGCCGACGAGCGACCAGTCGCCGAGGCTCTGGGCGTGCTGCCACTCGGCGCGCTCGATGACGGCCTGGGGGCGCTGGCCGGCCCAGAGGTCGGCGCCGAGGACGACGTCGCGAACAGGCTTGCCGTCGTCCCAGGAGAGGCTGAGACGGAGCGGGGCGCCGGCGTAGTGGTGCCAGACCTCGACGGCGTCGAGGACGCGGTGCCAGTGGGAGAGGCCCGAGGTGCCCTCGAGCAGGTAGTAGATGTAGGTGCTGGCGGCGCGCGGCTTCTCCGTGGTGGTGGTGGCGGCGGCTGGGACGGCGTCGCGGTAGGTTTCGACAAAGTAGCCCTTTTCGGGGTGGGGGGTCAGGTTGAGGGCGGCAATGACATCTTGCGCGGTGCGGGAATTAGTGGCGGCCATGATGGGCTGGTTTTTGCGCAAGTGGGAATAAGCAAAGAAGGAAAGAAGAATAGGTTTGTGTAATGGTAGGGTTCGTAGTTGGTAGGAAATGAGGCGAGTTGGGGCTGTTGGTGCGTATGGTCCTTGGACGTGGGTTTTATTATCTTGGCGATGTAGTGAGAAAGTGGGAGAGAGAGAGAGAGATTGGCGCAAAACGGACGTTGGGACGAAAGGGTCCGTGAGTTTCGGGGCTCGGCAGGAACTATCCGTACAGTACTGGCAGTTAGCCTCGAAATCGTTCAAGTGAGCTTAGTCCATGATGCGGTCGGGGTCGGGACGATTCGGCTGGCGGCAGGAAACACAAGAAGGTGGTGGTGGTTGCGCCACGGAGACTTTTTTTTGTGCCTTTGCGACGTTGACGTGATGTGATTTGTTACAGACAGCGAGTTGAGGAGAGTGGAGGGGCACGGCCCTCAGCCTGGTGAGGACTTGGCAGCGGCAGTCTTGTCCATCTGCATTGATGTGGGCCGTTTGCTTTGCGAGCGAGGGTTTCTTTGCGAGAGCCAAGGTGTAGCAATTGGGACTTGAACAAAGGACCCGTGTGCTAGGTGAATGGTGTGGATTGGCTCGCCGCCACGCGGGTGGTTTCGTTGCTGGATGTGGTTTGATGATGGAACGGGATCAAGTTGAGGCGCGGTCATGGGCCGATTTTCCTTGCTGGAGGCGTATTTGCTGACCACCATGAGAGGTGTGCCATGAACCAGGGGGCAAAGCCTCACCGGGTACTTTTGCGCTGGCGGTTTATTTTTTCTTTTAAAAAAAATTTGGTTCGTGAATGGAATTTTATATATTTCATGCTTGTTTTGTTTCAACGCGGGGAGGGGATGTTTTGCCCATGACGGTTGTGAGACCTGATACAAAGCAAAAACAGCGAAGCCAGGCTCAAATCCACAGAGCCACCCCACCCGTTGTGGAATCGATGGCAGGTTTGTGGCACAAGGGTAGGTCCGATATGATAATCAGCGCAGGAAAGAAAACAGAAAAAAGGGCAACTTCCGAGTATTCATGCTTTCAATAGTTATAAAAGGAACAGAAGAGGTGTGTTACACAAGGCAACAAGGTAAAATGACCCGGGGGGTTTCTTTCAGCTCATCTGCACGGTGAAGCGAAAAATGCTACGTATCTCTGCATCTTCATGTCCCATCACCGTAACTACCTGTAACAGCATTCATCTTGTATGGAGAGGGAACCTTGGCTTCATCGGTATGGTCCTCTCCCCCACCTGCAGCGTGTCACAAAGAAAGAACCCAAATAGACAAGTTCCACAACTCGCTCTTCGTTTCTGGCTTTCTGGCCTTGTAATCCGTACATTTTTGGGTAGCATACGCTTACTGGCATCACCTCATCTGTCATCTTTATTCCACACCCCCCTCATCCCCCTCATCCGTCGGCTCCCTCTATTACCTACAGGTGGCTACTACTAGTATTAACCTGCCCCCCATATCTCGAATACAAACGCCAGTCGTGCCACTTGTCCGCTACCGTCGACCGCTTTTGTGGGAATTCCTTCATCTTCGTTACCGAAAATTCCTCCCATCGCTTCCCTTGCTTCGTCCCCTCACCATTTTCCCTTCTCTTCCCATCTCCAGCCGTTCCTTCATTCAAACTCCTGCCCTCGGGCTCCTTTCCTTTCTTTTCACAAATCCCCCAAAAATGTAGTCAGAGTTTCCCCCCCGCCCGCTTGCAAACTCAAAGCAAAAAAGCCCCCCGTCTCATCTGGGCGCGCCCGCAGCATCTCGCACTAGCATCAAGCCGGCGGCTCAAAAACCCCCTCCTCTCATCAACCATGGATGACATCAAGCAGGACCTGCCAACGTCCATGATCATGGCCGCCTTTATAGGCATCGCCTGGTACATTGGCGTCGAGATCAACGCCTCCCTCTTCCTGCTCTTCAAGCGCCGTCGGGGCCTCTACTTTTGGGCCTGCGCCCTCACCAGCTGGGGCGTCATCCTGCAGCCCATCTTCATCATCCTCGCCGACTTTGCCGTCTGGAAGGACCCCGTGCCGTCCATCACCATGATCTACCTCACCTGGTTCATCATGGTCGTGCCGCAGAGCTGGGTCCTCTACTCGCGCCTGCACCTCCTCATGCACACCGACAGCGTCCTGCAGACCATAAAGTACATACTCATCTTCAACTCCATCGTCTTTTCCATACCCACCATGGTCATTGGCACCGTTGCTGTACGTATTTTTTTCCTTCTCTGACCTCTCATCGTCTCTTCTGCTCACACACCACAGCAAGCGACAAACATCAACCCCCATCTCGCCTCCTTCAACCTCGTCTGGGACCGCGTCCAGCTCGTCGTCTACTTCGTGCAAGAAACCGCCCTCAGCATCCTCTACATCTTCCAAACCCGCAAGTACCTCAAAGGCCGTGCCCCCCTCCGCCAGCGGCCCTGGTCCAACGCGCCCGCCACCGCCCACCCGGCCCCTCGCCAGACCAGCCATGAGAGCGCCGTTCTCTGGCAGCTCATCTGGGCCAACACCGTCATCATCGCCCTCGACATCACCCTCCTCGGCATCCAGTGCGCCGACCTCTTCCACCTTCAGGGCGCCTTCAAGCCCTGCGTCTACGGCGTCAAGCTCAAGCTCGAATTCGTCATCCTCAACCGCCTCATTAATACCGTCCGTCAGTCCACCAGCGACGTCTTCTACTCGGGCCCCTCGTCTGGGCCGGACAGCATTGGCCACCGCCGTGCGGCCGCAGCGGCCGCTTCTGGTTCGGCTGGTAGTCGCGGCAGCGAGAACCTCCGCGGCAGCAATCTCTGGCTAAAAACGGAGCCGGGCGAGGATACCTCGGGCGTCCAGCTCGTCCAGAGCATCAGTCGCACCGCCCGCGATCACAGCGTGAGCAGCGAGGCCCCCATCTACCGCGGACCCAACACCGTATGACCTGCCCACCAACAACAACAAACACGCCATTTTTTTTCTCTACTTTTATTTACTCCTATCCTTTATTATACCGGCATGGCGCCGCGCTTCAAGATCGGGACTGCGTGGGATGAGCGACGGAGTTTAGGTGCCCTTTTGATTTGAACCACACGAGACTTGCGGATTGACTATTTCTTTCTTATGAGTTATGCCTCATGATACCATTTTCTATATCTGCCTTTTTTTTTCATTCTTCTTGCCAGTGGCTAGGCCATGGCCAACATTCAGAGCGATTTATTAATAGATGGCCGCAATTTTTCATGCAGCAGTACATGCACACAACTAGCCAATTGCAAACATCGAGAAATTGAGCAGGCAAACATGCCAAGCGCAAGTGACGCCACCCATCGACATGCAGCGAGATTGCAGCTCATGCGCACACTGTGGTCAGGCACAATTGTGTTATGCACGAAAATATCACAATGCCAGATCGAGTCTCTTGCAAGAGGCTTGGTCCCAGTGTCATGAATCGTTCGTTATATTTACGTTTCCCCACCCCCAACTATCCACCTCTAATCATGGTGCTCCGTGTCCCGTTAGCGGGCACCAGCGCTGGCCGGCGCCGACGCCTGGCATGCGCCCTTTGGCTTCCATCCTGGCGGCGCGAGCTCATAGCCGTCTGTGCTAAATGCGGGGGCGACTGCGTGTTCACGTTGGCGTTTTGTTCCCTCTTGCGAAAAAAAAAGATGGCATCATCTGAANAAAAAAAAAAAAAACTTAACCCGTCGTGCCCACCAGCGTCCAGTTGCCGTGCGAGCGCGCGCTCTGCCACTGGTCCTTGAGAATCACCACCTGCGGGCTCTCATTGGCGAAGAAGTCTGGTCCCAAGACTTGCTTCTCGACCGGCTTCCCGTCATTCCACGACAGCGACAGCGTCAACGGCGCGCCGGCGTAGTAGTGCCAGACCTCGGCGGCGTCGACCCGGTGCCACACCGAGTCGCCCGACGCGCCCTCGAGCAGGTAGTAGATGAGCGTCGACGCCGACCGGTTGCTGCCGCCGCCGACGAGCTCCGGGTCGATGAACGTCTGCGCATAGTAGCCCTTTTCCGGGTTGGCCGTCAGGTTCAGACGGGTAATGACTTGTTGCGCCGACCGCTCGTTGACGGGCACGTGCGAGGCGGTGACGGCGGCCGTGGCAGCCATGGTAGCCAAGAGGGTGAGGAATTGCATCATGGCGTTGAGAGGGGTGTGTCTTGTTGTGCGTGGAACGGGGCGACTGATGCTTCGATTGACAAAGAACCCCGAGATTGTGTGGTTGTCGCTAAGATGGCCAGCAGCGAGGGCCTTTTTAAGTCTAACAGCTTCTCTGTATCCTCCTCGTTCATGGCCCAATCGGGGAAGACAAAGCCTTTGTATTAGATTGGTCCCCGAGTTCCACACATGCCCACCGCGCAATGGAAACAAGGCGAGACCAGCCGGCTTCGTGGCGGCGCCCTTTCCGTTTTACGACTCCCCTCCCGCCGCGCATCCGTCGCCCGCATCATGCTAGTTCCGCGGGGCAATATTTGAACATTGCTTTTTTGAGGCCCGAAATTTACAGGACGCATTTTGGAATTTGAGATACTTCTACCTAACTCTCTTAGTTCTGATTGGCCTGTTGCGCCTACTAAATACTGTAATAGGGACTGTCTTGTAAATTTTAAATCTTGTCCCGCAAATTTCGGGCTCTGCTTTTTTAATCACCATTGTCGTCATTTCCTCCCCTGCGGCGATTTTTTTTTTTCAGCTGCGTCCCTTTGCCGCCAAAAAATAACTATTGGCAGTACAGTACTGGCTACAAAGGACGCGAAGCCGTAGTCACCGATGGTTGCTTGCTGTTACGTTATAGTGTTGTCTGTGCTGACAAATAGGAATAGCGTTACAGGTATGCATAGGTTAAGTTGTAGCTGGAATAGTTTGAGAAAAGGGTAACTATCGAGACAACTTCCCATCGGGTCAGGGCCAGATGCGACCTTGCACCGAAGCTGGGCAAGACGACGCAAGCTATGGATGAGCAGGATGCGGTCAGATGCTTGCATTGTAATTGCACAGCTGCAAGATGGGTGGCGGCCAAGCCTTTTATCTACTGGTAGGAGCTGATCCCGGCTGATACGAATGACTACAGGGTTCTGCATCCAACCCGGTTGGCCCAGAGCTCGCGGGCCGATTGGACATGTCAGAGCTCCACAGCATATTCGCCCAATTTTGCACATTCTTGCTTCGTCAACCGTGCCAAGTCGGGACGGGTCCCTGCGGCGCGCCGACCCCCAAGCCAACGGGAAGAGACCATTCTCATTAGCGCACCAGACTACCTACAGTCTACCCCCTGAAATAATGTAGCCGCGATACTTCCGCCAACCGAAGTATTTCCTCAGAACCTACCAAGAAGATTTTATAATTAGGAAAAAGATAGAGAACTTATATATATATTAAATAAAGAGCTATATTCTCTATTAAATACTAAAATTAAACCTATTTTTTTAAAAATATTTTTATAATAAGTTTATATTTTTATAATAATATTATTTATTTATTAAATTACTTTAATTAAGCCTTATAATCTTTTTAATACCTTAATAAACTTATAAATACTAGAAAAACTATAATAATAAACTTATATTAATACCTTATTATACTAAATATAGTTTCTAAACTAGTTAAATAAAAACTAGCCTTTTTTATATACTATTTTATTACTATATAATAATTCTTAATAGTATTTAATAGTATTTAATAGTCTTAATAAATAGATTCTTAAGCTAATATTTAAATTTATATTTTTCTATATTTTTTATTAATTATTAACTATTTAAATATATTAATTTACTTATAATTTATATATATATTTAAATAATAAAATAGTTTTTATTAAGAACTAGCTTTAGAGTATTTATAAATAGGTATTAAAATAGTATTAATATTTTTATAAAATAAAAGAAAAAGAAAAGCTAGTTTATTTATTTACTATAGTATATAAAAAGAGTATACTAATAATATATTTATAATAAGCTTAGGCTAAGTTTAGCTTAAAGTAAGCTTAAGCCTAACTTCTTTATATATCCTTTCTTTTTAGTAGTACTTTAGTTATATTAGTTATAATTATCTATATTAATATAAGTTTATTATATCTTATTTACTTAAGTTAATATATATTAATATATATATTATATTTATATTAAGTTATTATTTATAAGTTATACTTTATTAGCTTATATATATATTATTAAAGATTATTTTTATTATATTCTTTCTTTACTTACTTTTTATTATAATATCTATATTTAAGAAATTCTTTTAAATAGCTTTTATATTATAATTACTTTTATTTTAAGCCTAGTTATTATTAGGATCGCTATTCTAAATAGGTAATAGTTATAAGACTATAAGTATAGAGTGCCTATAAAGGTACTCTATAGGAATAGTTATATAATAATAATTTTTAATTAACTAATAAAATAAACTATAAAAGAGAAAAGCTATAGTTAAATATATAAATAAGTAGTACTTTAGGTACTACTAGGAAATTATAAGAATAAAAGAATAATTAGTAGTTATATATATTAGTAGTTAATAACTTATAAATAGTTACTTTACTTACCTATAGAAGGTAATAATATCTTTATAGTAATCTAGCTTTATTAGCTTAGTTATTTATTATAATAGCCTTTATAATACCTTATATTAAGGCTATAAGTATTAAAACCTCTTTATATACTATTATATAATATAATTATTATATAAATATATATATAATATAACTAGCTACTATATATAACTATATATAATATAACTTTATTTACTATATACCTTTATATATAGTATATTTTATTAAATATTTACTATACTTAGTTAACTATATTTACTATAGTATTTACTAATATAATACTAATAGTCTCTTCTTTTAGCTAAATTATATAGCTTTTAGGCTTTTTTATAGCTTTTATAGTATAGCTAACCTAGTCTTAAATATATAGTATTAGCTAGTTATTATTAATTAGTTTTTATAATACTTTATTTAAGGTAGCCTTTATTAATATATTTATAGGGTTATTATTATTATTAATCTATTAAACCTTAGTAAGCTTATAGTATTTATAGAACTAATATAGTATTATAATATTAATTATTAAATACTTATTTTAATAATTCTAAGTTTTATTAAATATTTATATAGTAAAAATAAATTTATATAAATTACTATTAAAACTATTATTAAACCTATTAATTCTATAATCCTATTTAAAGTAATAAAAAAAGTATAGCTTATATTAATATTTAGAACTATACTATATAGCTTTAATATTAATATACTTTAAGTAATATATTTACTTTTTATTAAGCTTTAGGTAATAATATTACTTTAAATAGTAATTTTAGTATAGTTAATAGGTTCTTTATTACTTAAAATAATTATATATTTTAACTAAGAATTTAAATCTTTATTATTAATAAAGGAATTATTAATAAAAATAAATAATTTAGCTATTTTTAGTTAGATTAGTAAGTATTAAAAGCTATAAATAGTATTCTTAATTTACTATTAAATATAAGTATTTAAATACTTAAAATTATCTTTTTTAAGCTTTTTAAATTATATAATAATAAATAGGTTAAATATAACTTCTAGTTAGTAAATAAAAGCTAGATAGGTATCTTAAGCTTACTATTTAATATACTCTTTTAGATTTATTAATAATTAAAGCTTTTTTAATTATCCTTTTAAGATTATTAAGATAAAGCTATTAATACTTAAAGAAATATAATATTTATTAAATATTAATAAGTTCTTTATTATAAATATTTTCTTTAACTTAGCCTAGAATCTAATAATAATAAAGATATTAACTTCTTATTTACTAAAAGTAATAATATTAAAGCTAATTATATTATTAGTTTATATATTAATAATACCTAGATTAAGGCTTAAAGCTAATAAAAAGTATTAATTATAAATAAATAATAATATTCTAAGCTTTTTAAGATAATAAGTAAAGTATATTATTTATTAGTAAGTATTAGATTTAAAAAGTCCTATATAATAATAAAATAACTTTAATAATAATACTTTTAAGGTAAAGATAGTAAAGTTTTAAAAGAATCTAAATAAGAATATACTATTAAAGATAGATTCTAACCTATATATAAGCCTAGATAATATCTTAAAGCTATAATAGCTAATCTTATTAAATTTAGGTTAGTATAAGGTTTAAAATTAAATACTAGTTTATTTTTTAAATAGTTAATAATTAAGTAAATAATATATTTTTATTATAGTTTTAATAACTATATAGAATTATATATATTTTCTTTATAGGTTTTTTAATAATATTAAACTTAATTTTATTAATTATTTAGAATTTAAATAAGTACTTATAATAAGTAATAAAGTTAAATTTAATAAACTAAAAGACTTTATATTTTAAAAAGCTTTATAACTTCTTTTTAGTAAAAGTAAAAAATAAAAGCTTATTATTAAAAAGTATACTATTCTTTTTAAGCTTTAGGTAATACTTTATATTATTCTTTTTTTTAGTAAAGAGAAATACTTTATTTTTAATTACTTTTAATAGAATTTAATATTTTATAAATTAATATTTTATTTTAATACTAGGAATTTCTTATAAATACCTAAGCTTATAAGGAATAATAACTTAAATCTATTTAGTAGGCTTTAAGGTAGCTTTAATAGTTTTAAAGGCTTAATAATTATAGTTTAGGTTATTATTAAAGTTATATTTATTATTAATATTACTTTTAAAAGTTTATAGTATTTTTAGGTTTATATTTAGGTCCTTTTTAATAAAGAATAAGTATATAATAGTTATATAAAAGCTAATAAGGCTAGATAATATTTTTATAGTATATTTTCTAATATTTATATTTATTAACTTATAAAAGCTAATCTAGCTACTATTTTTATATTAAATATAAATATTTAATTATAATAGTAGGTAATATAGGGGGCTTATATTAAGGTTATTATATATAATTAGTATCTTATATACCTATTATAAAGAGAGAGCTTTCTAGGTAGTATTAGTTACCTTCTAGAGAGCTTTAGTATACTAGGCTACTAAAGGGTATAGTAAGGAGCCTTCTAAGAGGTAGGGGTAGGTACTAAAGACTAGTAAGGTAGGTACTAAGCTATTAGGGCTAATAAAGTTATTTATAGCCTTAATAGTAAGTTATAAGTA